TCCAGATATTCTTTTGTAACGGACGAATTTTTTTAGCATGGATGGATATATTTTGAAAATGCGAAGCATTATTTTGTCCCATTTCGAATAAAGTTCGAAGGCCGTGCGCAGTTTTTCAGTTGTTCATTTCATTTCGATGTCCGACGAGAAGTACGACGACATATACATACGGTATATACCTGCAGCACAGTTAAGGATTGATCTGTTTATCTAACAATACTCGATGTTCAAATTCGTACAATTTAAAATTTGAACTTATACACAGAACCATTTATGTAGCTGGTTCTTTCAAACTTTTAAATTCGAAAACATTAGACATTGTAACGTAACAATTTATCCGCAAATTCAGCAAAGTTGAATTCTTGTTTCAATATCCGTGGAGTAATTCTGAGACAGATTTTCCCTATAAACTTTTTCGCGGTTATAGGAGTAAAAATATGATAATTTGTGAGGTAACAACAGAGGTTCTTTCTCCATATTCTGATAGATCGAACTGGAAATGTGGGCAAATAGATCGATAGATCGAGGTGCTTACAGTTCTTGTTGATGGGTTGCTATGGCGAGCTGTTCTGCCCCACCGCATTTGGCTGCAGTGAACATCGATGTGGATATGAATGATCATGTACAGATCAAATATGAGCACATGACTGATCACGAACACATGACTGATCATGAACTCATGACTCATCATGAACACGTTAGAGAAAACGAAAATATGCAGAGCAAACAATATTTTTTCAAGTCAAATTAATTTTTTTAATGAATCTGGGTTCATCTTGCATTGATCAGGTACTTCATGTCTGAAATTTTTAGAGTTAGGTACCGTACGTCTGAATTCTTATAAGTTCGTTTCTTTATGTCTGAATTCTCATGAGTTAGCTACTTTATGTTAAACTTCTCATAAAATATTATTTCTTAGACCGTTCATGTTACGCACTTCTTCATATAATCTCCGTACTCCAGCGATTTGGTAGGCAAGGTTTCGACGAGCAACCAATATGCGTGGTATGTTAACATGGATCGCTAATTGAAAATGATATTACTATACCTGCAACTATTAAATTAATCGCACACTTGCTTGTCTTTTAATCCTAAACCTCGCTTGATCGGAATTCGAACTACCAAAAAGTCATCAAGAGATGATACAAATCTGTTCATTGTTCATGCATCTTCATTTAGCCCTTAGAACTCGATCCCAGCTGAACGCTCATAAAAAAATTATAGCAATCGAATAATTCAGGATACAATAACTTTATTACTATTATTTTTTGTTATCACTCGTCATCAGAAGCGATTAGACTCGTTAATAATTCCGCACATTACGCACATCCGACGATATGTTATCGCGTAAAATTGCAAAAAAATTAGGTTACGATTATGAATTATAACAATAAAAATTCTACAAAAATGAACAAATTCTAACAATTATTAAAATGAATAATTAATTAATAACAATTCAATAATAATAATATAAATTGATATAATTATATAAATTGAAATAATAATAATATAAATTGAAATAATAATTTGCGCACCCGGATGGACTTGTTTGGTAGTTAGCACAGCCCGTGATGAGCCAGTCAAGGAACATGCGCTTGTTGTTGTGCCAGGTGTGAGGGAGCGGCGCGGTGCTCTGAGAGCTTGTCACCCCCACCAGCAGCACCACCAGCAACGCTGCACACGCCACACGCTGCAGCGCCTTCGTCAGCATCGCTGAAATCCTATACTCGCACCCAGGGGAGGCAAGTCGTACCTCACTCGGCTACCTAAACTATGATTATAATCTTCAAGTAAATACTTAATAATTCTGGAATAATTCAAAAGCTGAAATCCTATACTCGCACCCAGAGGAGGCAAGTCGTACCTCACTCAGCTACCTAAACTATGAATATAATGTTCAAGTAAATGCTATATTTCTAGAATAATTCAATAGAGGTAAAAAGTGAATTATTTAGAAGATACGGTTATTGTGAGTCATAGAATTTGATATGAGAGAATAGGAAATAGTTCCAGCTTGCTTGATCAGTTCTCATATATTTTAATACTTTAATCTAACTTTATCAAAGGCATGTTTAGTTTGTGTCATTCATCAATGTAATCGGTAAATAAATGAATTGATCGCACTCAGTGCATAAAAATATCAATATATTAATAAGCATCCAAGCCTTTGCCATCATCCATTAAGATCTGTCTCTTATACACATCTAGATGTGTATAAGAGACAGGTCATATACATTATCATATATGACCATATTGTCAAATTTTGAACAAATATTCGGCAAACCGAACATTAGATATTTAGATATTTATACATAAAAAAATTATATATTCCATATGGGGAGAAAACTGGGCCATGTGAGGAGGTTCAATTTACCCAAGGCTGAGGCAAATTGATAATAAATGGAAAGCCAGGTCTATCACCACGATGCAAAATGCCCCTCCCTTGATTGTAAGATTGTTGTTTTCGTTCTGTGATTGTGTCAAGTCATTTAATGCAGCAAAGCAGCTCGGATAAATGAGTCACATGACAGTTTAAATGTGAATTATTTTATTATTACATCATTTCCAGGCAGTAAACTAAATTTACCAATTTATCGGGAATTGAGAGGAGTATAGAAATAATATATATTTCAAACGCATTACATTAATGCTGTCTCTTATACACATCTAGATGTGTATAAGAGACAGCAGTAATACCCGCCAATCANTGTACTCGTTATTTTATAACAGGCTTTGTTAATGAATGATGGTAATTCCGCACATGACTGAACATGACTACAAGTACACAGTACCTTAAAGATGAGTCCGATGATATATTATCGCGTAAAATTAAAAAAAATGTAGGTTATGATTATGAATTATAAGAATACAAATTCTAACAATTATAAAAATGAATAATCAATCAATAACAATTTGATAATTAATAATAATAATAATATAAATTGAAATAATAATAATATAAATTGAAATAATAATTTGCGCACCCGGATGGACTTGTTTGGTAGTTAGCACAGCCCGTGATGAGCCAGTCAAGGAACATGCGCTTGTTGTTGGTCCAGGTGGCCGGGAGCGGCGCGGTGCTCTGAGAGCTTGTCACCCCCACCAGCAGCACCACCAGCAACGCTGCACACGCCACACGCTGCAGCGCCTTCGTCAGCATCGCTGAAATCCTATACTCGCACCCAGGGGAGGCAAGTCGTACCTCACTCGGCTACCTAAACTATGATTATAATCTTCAAGTAAATACTTAATAATTCTGGAATAATTCAAAAGCTGAAATCCTATACTCCTGTCTCTTATACACATCTAACCAAACCAAACTCTAACATTAAATTCATTCTTAGTTTAGCGAGCGTGTTGTTGCAATGCAAAAAATGTATGCACAAATAAATGGTCTAATCGTGACAACTGAAAAACTACTTTTCCGAGATGCAAACCAGCATCGAAGCTGTTGGGTGGACTAGGGCCCAGGAGGCCACGGTCCCAAAGCCCAGCCAGAGAATGAGGCCGGGGACCCATCGCTACATAGAAGACCAGGGCCCACCACTGCACTGAAGACCAGGGCCCACCACTGCACTGAAGACCAGGGCCCACCTCTGCTCTGAAGACCAGGGCCCACCTCTGCTCTGAAGACCAGGGCCCACCACTGCACTGAAGACCAGGGCCCACTACTGCACTGAAGACCAGGGCCCAGCAGGGAGGTACTCACTGAAGACCCTGGAGGTACTCACTAAAGAACCTGGAGGTACTCACTGAAGACCCTGGAGGGAGGTACTCACTGAAGAACCTGGAGGGAGGTACTCACTGAAGACCCTGGAAGGAGGTACTCACTGAAGACCCTGGAGGGAGGTACTCACTGAAGACCCTGGAGGTACTCACTGAAGAACCTGGAGGTACTCACTGAAGACCCTGGAGGTATTCACTGAAGAACCTGGAGGTACTCACTGAAGACCCTGGAGGNATGTGGTGGAGGGTTAATAAAGAATAACACAAAAATGTCTTAAACAGTAGCACTAATAAATAAGAATGTGGGGATGGGTTAATAAAGAATAACACAAAAATATGTTGAACAGCAGCACTAATAAATAAGAATGTGGTGGAGGGTTAATAAAGAATAACACAAAAATGTCTTAAACAGTAGCACTAATAAATAAGAATGTGGGGATGGGTTAATAAAGAATAACACAAAAATATGTTGAACAGCAGCACTAATAAATAAGAATGTGGTGGAGGGTTAATAAAGAATAACACAAAAATGTCTTAAACAGTAGCACTAATAAATAAGAATGTGGGGATGGGTTAATAAAGAATAACACAAAAATATGTTGAACAGCAGCACTAATAAATAAGAATGTGGTGGAGGGTTAATAAAGAATAACACAAAAATGTCTTAAACAGTAGCACTAATAAATAAGAATGTGGGGATGGGTTAATAAAGAATAACACAAAAATATGTTGAACAGCAGCACTAATAAATAAGAATGTGGTGGAGGGTTAATAAAGAATAACACAAAAATGTCTTAAACAGTAGCACTAATAAATAAGAATGTGGGGATGGGTTAATAAAGAATAACACAAAAATATGTTGAACAGCAGCACTAATAAATAAGAATGTGGTGGAGGGTTAATAAAGAATAACACAAAAATGTCTTAAACAGTAGCACTAATAAATAAGAATGTGGGGATGGGTTAATAAAGAATAACACAAAAATATGTTGAACAGCAGCACTAATAAATAAGAATGTGGTGGAGGGTTAATAAAGAATAACACAAAAATGTCTTAAACAGCAGCACTAATAAATAAGAATGTGGGGATGGGTTAATAAAGAATAACACAAAAATATGTTGAACAGCAGCACTAATAAATAAGAATGTGGTGGAGGGTTAATAAAGAATAACACAAAAATGTCTTAAACAGCAGCACTAATAAATAAGAATGTGGGGGAGGGTTAATAAAGAATAACACAAAAATAACTCAAGCAGCAGCACTAATAACAGTGCTAGAGACAGAGCAGCACCTGGTCGTGCCAGGCCAGCAGGCCGTGGGGGGCGAGGCTGCCGTTGCTGAAGGTGCGTAGGGCGTCGGCCCAGCCCTTGGCGGTGCCGTACACCAGCCCTCCGTCCAGGTAGGGCGTGATCTCGTTCAGCTGCCGCACCAGAGGTCAATGAGTACATATCTACGTCATCAGGTCAATGAGTACATCTCTACACCATCAGGAGGTCAATGAGTACATCTCTGTGTCATCAGGAGGTCAATGAGTACATCTCTGTGTCATCAGGAGGTCAATGAGTACATGTCTACGTCATCAGGAGGTCAATGAGTACATGTCTACGTCATCAGGAGGTCAATGAGTACATATCTACGTCATCAGGAGGTCAATGAGTACATCTCTACGTCATCAGGAGGTCAATGAGTACATCTCTACGTCAGCAGGAGGTCAATGAGTACATCTCTACGTCAGCAGGAGGTCAATGAGTGCATCTCTACGTCAGCAGGAGGTCAATGAGTACATCTCTACATCATCAGGAGGTCAATGAGTACATCTCTACGTCAAGATCTTGAGTTGAAGTTGTTGGATTGGAATAATTTAAGACAGTTCGAAATTGTTATCCGAGTCTTCAAATTTAATATTTTTGAGTTCACTGTTGATTTTTTTATGATTTTTCTCGGAATTAGTTCAGCTATCTGTCTCACAGTTATCCTGTACCCTGTAGCTGCCGAACCATGAATGCAGAATCGCAATGAGTGAAATCTCAATTTTTGATTTCATTTTTATAGCAATTAAAATGACATCCCACAAAAAGGGCACTTCTGCGCCCCAACGAAATATAAGTTCTACGATGATATCAAACCACCAACACAAAATGAGCGGAATTGTAGTTGACCTCAAAAATGCATTCAAATTCAACTGATCTTTTAATTTTTATTTTCTTTCAACATTTTGAAGTAACCAATATTTTTGTTTTTCTACTAATCAGAATGGATCTTTTCTAAATGATTTATCATGTTAGGTTCCACAGTAGCAATGGGCTCAGCACCCTCAACAAGTGATGGTGCAAAGGCAATTTCTTACTACCGGCAGTCTATGGAATAGATTTTTTTAGCATTGTCATTGAGGACTTTGAGTATTGGTAATGTCTCTTTTTACGAAAAGCAGTGAAACAACAATAACATAAGCAGCAAAAGCAGCACAGATCATATAAAGAAGCACAGATCACATGAGAGATGGAGGGCAACATAATAAATGAAAATATATAATGCATCCGCAAACGAGCGTGTCGATCTAGTGGTTAGCGAAAAGAATAAAATTTAACCTCGTTAATCATTCCTAAAGATTCAAATTAGTACCTATTCCGTAAGAGTATCACGTGCAGGAAGTAAGAATATACTCGGTTCTGTGCTGCCTATGCATGCATTATCTGCCCGAGCCCGATATGCACATATATTCTGTGCTAGAGGTGAGAGTTCGAAAAGGCGTCACTATATTGGACGCTGTCTTGACTGCGGTTAATGCATTTAAATCAATTGGGTAATTTAGTCATTTAATTTTATGTAAAACATGTTCAAATTAATGCTCTTTTCATTTCTTACATTTTCAAACAAATATATATTTGTATCGAAGATCTTGACAAATTATTTTAATTTTCCATCATCGACCCTCTCTCGACTGCTATCAATTTATCAATCCCTGAATTTTATCCACGATACGCAGGGGGGTCAATATCGACCTCGTTGCCGACCCCTGATCCATACCAACCAAAGGCGTGGCAGGTTGCCTATTATCCCAAGACCCATTTTCAACCACAATTATTTTAAATAATAATCCATGCAACATTGTTTAGGGATTTTCTATTTTCAACTATTTTCCAGTCTTCAATGCTATTTATTATCCTTTTGACAATATCTTTGTTTCACTCACAGTCTTCTCACACGGTTGTTTGAGTTTAAAGGATGCTGTCTATATATGAACACGAAAATTATATAAGAGCGTTTAACACAACTGGCCGAATATTCTTCTTTTAATCTTTAAAATGCGCAGTCATCAGGACAAGGAAAAACAGAGCAAAAGGTTTTAAAACACTCTCAACGTGCGTTGAAAATGATCAATTCGTGCTCATGCACAGATTATTTAAAGACACCGATTGTGTTGTGAAATAAATTAACACGTGAGTGCGGCACGGCCCACCAGCGCTGGCAGATGGCCTAAAAACGGCCAAGCCCGTGATAAAAAGGCAATCTAAATTTAGATTTGCAAATATTGCAACAAAATGAGAAAAATTACATAAATTATAATATTTTCTTGTATTAAATCAATTTCAATGTATAACTTTATAGTAAAACAAATGGGTCATGATTCTTTATGGGAACACCATGTAGTTATAAGCAGGTTGTCAAGCATTTAAGGAACGGGATTTACACAGAAATAAATATATTCATAATACATATATTCAAGCCAGATTATATGGAAATTTTCGGCATTTTATTGTTTTAATGTATGAACATAAAGTTATTTAAGGGGCTTAATTTATTAACAATATTTCATGAGGGTTGTAGACCCATTGAATAGGCCTAATGCTGCTACTAACATTAAGTGTAATTGACTTATAGGTAAATGGAAATACATTGAAGATAATACATATAAATGACATCTATAAAGTATTCATACACGTTAGCCATGAATCTGGTCACTCGTGTAACAAGCATGGTTTGGAACTGTAATGTTTTCATGCAGTTTCCTACAAGCTGATGAGAGTATAGTCATCATTAAAAATTTAAACTTACTCCAAACCAGGTGCTTAGCTTCTTCGCGTTGATCTACGGTCCGGATGATGAATGGGAACCCATTCTCAGCAGCACACATCTCAGTCAAAAGTGTCCGAGAAAAGTTCGATGTAATTTGAGCCGACATGAAGAGGATTGGAGCAGGAGGCGTGTATGCTGCACATTAAATTAGTGATGAGAGTAGAACGCCGTCGCTGAGATTTTATTCAAGCTCAAAAATTAAAAATGCTTGTAAGACGGTGTCATTTCGAACTCAAATCTTATTGAGTATCAATTTTCAACTGAAATTGTCGTAAAATTAATTTCGAGCTAGCTCTTGATGTCATAGAGCCTTTCTGGACATGGCGTGTTAATACTGAAAAGACATAAAAAAACAAAGGCAAAAGGCACAAAACAACACATCAACAAAAGGCATCTTCGTGCTTGATTTGATCAACTAATATTTTTCTAATCCAATTTTCCGACATTGTTATATATTTTTGATGACCCTTTTGTCAATATTCTATCAATTTTTTTACAAGTTTATGATCTGTTTAATGTTTTACAGGACTTTTTTAAAAAGTTGAATTTTCTATAGCGTGTACCACTTAATTATGGCACTCGTCGCAGCCAGAGTGTTAAGTAGCTATCAGATACCGGGACATTATGCACTGCTCGGCATGAACTCGAACTCATAAAGTTGAATGAGGGGAATGTGCAAGCAGATTTATTGTTCGAAAACTCCCCAGTTTTTGCCCAACCATTCCAGAATAAAAAAAATGCACGACGTCACATCGACGTACGCTGATGCGCATTGCGCCAGACAGTATTTATAAAGAAAGACGATAGCAGAATAGCAGTGAAAGTTTCTTTATACCGGAAGAAAGAGCTAAGCTGAGATTAAAATTATTCACTAAAAAACACGAAGACTAGCTGACATTCGGCAGGCATTTCGTGAGTAAAACTTTCAATTCTTTTGACATCGTTTCAGATTACAGGGCAAAAGTATGAAAATGCACAGTAAACAACATCAATATCATCATACCTATTTACCAGAAATGTATTTAAAAAACTTAAATTCAGAGTGCATAGAATGGAAGGCATAGCAAATACGAAAGCTGTGAAGTATTATTGCCGATGCAATAGTGTTTGTTAGCCATCGAACAAGAATAAATTACCTTGCACATCCTCCTCTTTCAGCTGTACGAGTTCATGCCGAGCAATGCAAAATCCCGGTATCAAATAGCGACTTGAAATTTTAGCTTCTACAACCGGTGTTTCGAATTTCTGGCAATTTTTAGAATCCCTATAATTCCTCAAATAGAAGATTACTTTAAATACCGATGTCAGTTATTATCCTTTTGAAATTGTAAATAAATAGGTATGCCAGTTTGTGGTTATTTTGAATTGATTTGTCTTTTATCCGTCAATTTCGGTTTTGATGACTGCAATGCAAATTTTGGTTTATTAATTATTAATCTTCAACTAATATTAATATTTGGAGGTGGAATCCAAAACATTTCTTTCGTTCAAAGATGTGGTGAATTTCTGGTGTCATTTTCTTTGCTTTAATATTCCTGTTAATCTTATGACATGACTGAAACAAAGCTTGTGGTTAGAAACCTGTAACTAAAAACTTTTTTTAATTACAACTTATAAGATTCGATGAGTTAGATCGATAAACGTCCAAGAGAAAGTTGACTGTGTATTGTGGGATCGTCAAGTAAAGAGGATGCTGCCATATGTCCAGTCACAATGATGCATCTGTATGAGCTGAATTTAGCCCACGAACCCTATGAAAAAAATCAGATTTACTCACAGAACTTGGTATAGGTGACGGTCTCAAGTTGATTTTGCGTTCTCAACGAACTCTGAGTCCCTTCACTGATGGTGCACGTGTCGCCCACAGCATCATACGAAATGGCCATGCAACTGTTGTCCTCGCTGCATAGCGCTTTGCAATCGCCTGTGGAGTGAAAAAAATAAACAAATCAATAAAATTGATAAACTATGCTAAAATATAATAAACTAATATATCACAACATTATTTTTTAAGCAAATTCAAAATGAAGCAATTTCTTCAACGTTTACGCAATGATGTGAATTTCAGCCAACCATGAAATACAAGGCTTACGTCACCGCGCCGATGGTGGAAACCACCTTCAACAAAGAAATATACGGTAATTTCTATAATAAGAATTACATAGACCTTTTCTACCATTTCTTTTTCAAAAGGAAAATCTTCGTAGATAGTTCGGCCTTTATGAGGATACCTATAGGCTATGATTTTGATGCCGTTCGAAAGGACACAAGTCAAAACCCGTGCAGTGAACCTTTATCGTGTGCAACTTGCCAGCGGCAACTTCCCATGCACCATCATACCAACGCATCGAAACAATCGTCACTGCCACCATCGTAGGAAACTTTGAAAATAGCTCTGAATAACACTCTCGTTCCATTCTGAAGGCCATTTCTCTTTGCTTCGTCAGAATTTAGAGTAGTCTGCGTCGATTGAAAAAAGACTGTTTGAGCGGATAGACTCGAAACCGCAGAAGCGATCAAAAATTAAATTGCTTTAAAGAACGAGTCGTCCAGACTCAGGAGCATGACAATTAATATGTGAAAATTTACTGAACTTTGAAGGCAAATTTTCACGAATGCTAATAAAGTAGAAGTTGACTGAGCAGATAATTCATTTTTCTTATCAATTGTGGGGCAGCCGGAGCAAGGCAATATTAGCGCGTGGCTGCTATGTCTTAATTAAGCGTTTTCATGACGTAGTATGAGCTATTAAGGGATCATTTTTTCACATTGCCTGCACCTTTTGCGTTTAACTGGCTCTTATTAGGCAACGGCGCAGCTCCTATTCTGCTTTCAATTCTGACTCTGAGTGAAAGACTCAAAAATTAAGTCCGTATTCTCTGGGCTGGGACAAAGCCACAGTGGTGTTGCTGCGAGAAGAGAGGCCCGGCAGAAAATTCTGACTCTGAGTGAAAGACTCAAAAAGTCCGTATTCTCTGGGCTGGGACAAAGCCACAGTGGTGTTGCTGCGAGAAGAGAGGCCCGGCAGAAGAGAGGCCCCCTGATTGAAAACTGAGAGGCTTCGAACAGGCTCGGCTCTTCCCTAAGCGTTTCTTCACTAATTAGGATAGACTTTACTCCACTCGCAAATGAGATGACGATATGAATTTTTCCATACTTACCCAGCTATTTATTTATAAGCGTCAACCAGTAATAAAAAATACGTAAACTTTCTATTAAAAGAGTTTTAATGAGAGGAAATTTCAAGAAACTTTGAATATTATTGTTCATCTTGTCTGCGACTTTTACACTTTTTTCGAGATATAAACGGGTTGTAATTTTTATTGTCAATTGGATGGTATATTCGGCATTCCTTGATCAGCTTCCTTGTTATAGATTGCCGCGAGAAAGGGGCTGGCTAGGATATCATATTACAAAGAGTACAAGCTCGAGGGTAGCGACTGGCCGAGCTTTGGGCAGATCAAGGATTTTACACGATGGTCGCGAAAACCTCCCTCTCAGACTTCGCTGCATTTTGACTACAAGCCTTAATGCTGGTCGTGCATTAAAAATCTCATAGGTTTATCGACTAACTTCATAGGTTTCTTGACAAACTAGAACAAACTGTAAAAATTACTGGAGCCATACATCCTGCGTGAACTATAATTGGCATGCCATATTGGCTGGGGGTCAGATGCTGAAATTACTGTGCGTTCAACTCGGTGTAAATTATGGCGTTATTCGACGCCTCAAAGGTCCTGTATTCATGACATAGAGCTACTTTAATAACGTTGCTATTCCATTGATCTCAAATGCTGTCCGCCCATGTGCTGCTATAATTTGACGAGTTGAGCACACAGTTTAAGCAGCCATCGAGGCCAATGTTTAGTTTGTTCAAACAGTGTCACTGGTGTGGATGCCGGTGGATGGTGTCAAACTGTCACGCATTCACTCATCGAAAACACATCACTGCAGTTTTTAGCAGATATTTTTGTAACTTCAAATTTATTTTCTATGTCTTTGGAAAATAAATTTTCCCAATGATTTGGAAAATAATTTTTTCATTGGGGCAAATTTTTTATTGGTTCGTTACTATACTAACCTTCAAATTAGGATTAAAAATTTTTCAGATTTTAACTTACATTCAGAGACGACGGGAACGATGCTCTGCACAGGTGAGAGTATGGCTTGGTTAGTGAGGGTTGACGTCCACTGAGCATGGCTCCGAGAAAAGGACAACAGGAGTGCCAGAAGCAGAGCCGTTCTTTTCCATGGTCTGGAAATTGTATCGCGAGCTTCAATGGACAAATGTCAATAACAATGATCTTATTCTTTACATATTCTTAGAATGCAATGGGAAGTTATTTCATAAGAAGGCTTTTTGCAATTTCACTAAAGGGTTCAAGGCTCTCCAATGATTTTATAATTTTTTCTTCAAAGTAGCATTTAAAGCTTGAGTTGAATTTTATGAAACTGGTAAAATTTCCTGGAATAGAGACGAAATTCCCGCCATCGCGTTCCATTACATATTATTTTCAAATAATTTTCAGTTTTTGACTTATTATTGGATTAACATCGATAAATCAACAAAACTCACAACCAAGGGAAAAATTCCAAGTTGTCTAATTCAACACCGACTTGGCCTATCGACCGATTTATGATCATTTCAAATATATATGATCATTTGATACAATATGTATGACCAATTTATAATCATTTACAATATTAATGATCATTTTTCATTCAGTTGACTGAGTCTATACGTAATGTTTACTACATAGTGAGATAGATGACATGTTTTCTACGTTATTCTATTTAAAAAGTATTGAAATTTAGACTTTCAAGAAATTGCATTTAGCTCAATTCTTCCAAAACGAAAGGATAAATTTTCGAATAGTGCTAGTCAAAAGAAAAAAAAAACATTATCATCACCCTCCAGACTAAATTTTTAGTATGAGTCAAAGACATACATCGACATTCTGCTCAAGTTTTTCGTAAATTCGACTCAGAGCTACGAAAAAGAACGTTGATCAGCACCTTTACAACGAAGCATTTTAATGCTTTGCACCGCTACCCAGACTACCCACCTTTAGCTTTGAGTAGGTATGAAGCTGAATATACTAGCAGGATAAAATTGGCGACAGCAATAAACACAAATGGAGCTAAGTTTTCAAATTTATTTATGTAAATTTCTCTACCATGCCTGTAGCATACATAAATAATCATAAAATTATCGTATTCACTATTTTTCCAGCACTTAACGCTCATATGCACCGCGTATCACAGATTATACAAACCAAATTTTTCCCTATAAATGCTAAGGCAATCAAGCTACTTGCGTGCAGTACTCCTTGTATCAATTGCGATACATACTATAAGCCAGACGATAACGACACGTGCCATATCGCTGTTTTGTGGCGCGGTAAACATAAACGCCAGTGAACGACAAGGCGTAATTTCTACATTAAATGCGCGCATTTAAGGGTTAATTTTTAGCATAGTTTAACCTTACATAAAAAAACCGTTTGTAGACGGTTCATAGCACGTATTATTATAAACGTATTATGAACCAGACGGTTTGTATTACAGATGATAACAAACCTTAAGTCACTATGACCGCTCACACATATGCAAGAGTAATAAGCATTAGGTATACGTAAAGACGGTATACTGTACATACCTCATGGTAAGTAGATGAACCGTCGTACAAAGAAGTGGAAGTACAACTGAAATTCTGAGTGCCAGAAATGCACCGTAACCAACGCCTAACAGCACTAACATCACTAACAACACTTTGTCGTCATAGTAATTCAGAGTAAAAGCAGCCGACAAGGCTGATTTTTGCGAAACTTTCTGCCGCTTAGTCTGTGTAGTACAGAAAATTTCACATCATGAGCGAATGTTAGGCAGCGCTTGCGTGATACACGTACCACTGCCTCTATTATTTTATCGTCCGGGCTACTGATTCTCTAGCTACAGGACTGACTCTTTGTCATGTATTGAGTAGCAATTTTATCATGAAGCTCCTCAAACTTTGGTACGTTATAACCACAACTTTCGCAATCAGTCGCCAAAAATACAGGGCAGACTTTGCATTGATTCTTTTTCATTGACAATACTCGACTTCCTTGCGTGGACAATGTCGCCAAAACCGCAGGGTTTTGGTACAAAATCAGTAAATCGACGAGTAACTTTAGAGGTACTAATGCCAAAAGACGTGAATTTTATGCTTTATTCCAAGTTGGAATGAACAGTTTGTTGGTTAGTTTCCAAGGTGATCATATGGATCTCATTCCTCTTCACTCCTGTGTCATAGTGATATCAATTGACACGAATTTTGCCAATTCAATGCGCGTCACGTTCAAATGTGACAATACAAGAGATTTCCGTCTTTAACAATCTTTTCATTAAACTGTATATATATAACACTAACTTAAATTTACTGGACTGATGTTGTAACATATTAGATACTAATATGCTAATGATTGGTATGTAGAATTATTGTCACTGTAGAATTATAGCCAAATACACCGTAAACTAACGACAATGTGTTCGCATAGCTTGTGTTCGTGTGCGTCGTCGACGCATCGCCATCAATTCACAGATTTAAGCACTCATATTTGATATTCATATCACCTTATTGGAATTCTATATTTATTTGTTCTATTTTTCTATTTAATTCATAAATAATTCTTACTTAATATTAATTTTAAGACTTTTCTGAATACATTACCCATTTTTATTCTTCTAAGAAGGACTATTGTCTTCGAAAAATGTTGTTCATGAACGACTTAGTCGACTCACAGGTAGCATTTAACGGATATTGTACTACTAGTTTGGTGATTAATATGCTTCTCTGTGTATCATTTTCTTCGTCTTCCTTACTCCTTACAAATGTCCAAAGCTTCAATATTTATTTTTATTTTTGCATTTGTTTTGATTAATTGTATCACTTGATGGTATTTATTTTCACGTTTAGAAACAATGAAAGAAACGAATATTCGAATCTGAAAAAGTTGTTGCGTTTTCTATGGCTTTAGTCAGAATAATGATTTATGGTATTTAAATTTAAGCTGCAAAATTATAGTTATTTCTTTTTGTCCAATGACAATTATAGATTCTCGGACAGATGTTGTGATTTTGTGCACGTTCTTTCGCCCACTGAACTTCAAGCACGAGTTCAGTCGATTCGTACATGTCAGCATAAGCGCAGTATATAGGTACTCGAATAAACGTTTTTTCATTTTTCTTTATTGAATTTTTTAATCCTAAATAATGACAGGTTTTATTTTATTTAGATTAATTATGATCTTTTCGTTTATATAATTGTAATGAAATGCTTTTTGTTTAACAAAATTCATCATATTAAATAATCTCGTACTTTAATTACGCTTCAGCATTGTTATGATACTCTGATGAATATTTTAGTGACTTCTTACAAATTATACCAAATAATTACTGTTATAACAAGGTGGGCTTGTTTGCCTTCAATATCAAACGTTCTACAAAATGTTCCTTTTAGATACCATATAATCAAAAGTCTGATTAACAGATATCATATCCGTACACGTCTTATTCAACCGGTTTTCCTTGATAGATAAAGTATGTCACGCGCTCCCGATGTATATATGTTTATGGACGGTATCACAGTTAAACGTCAAGCCGTCACGACCGGAAAACTGAAGCAGGTGTTACGGTACGCTGCCCCAGACCTCAGTTGCGATCATGAGTGCTCACGTGTGGAGTGTTGTCCTGGCGGTCCTCATGGTGAGACTGATGAGGAAATTTAGGTTTTTTACGTTTTGTGAACTTCTAATTGTTGTTTTTCGATTCAGCTTCCTTCAGATTTAGATCCATTCTTTAATCTTTCCAAACGTCACAATTCTTAATTATGTACATGCATTAATTTCAAATACGCGACTCAGTTTTTTGCTTAGAATTTGTAGTTCAATGAGCTATGGCAAATATCGCTTGGAAAAACATATTCAACATGCATTAATTTTGCTAACGCTTTCATGCGCAGCTTAATGGAAAGTCGCTCTGCTTTCCTTCCGGAGCCCCCAGCATCACATGTGGGATTTACATGCCCCACCACGGGGCTGCTCCCCAACCCCCCAGCTCTAATCCCTACGCGGTTGTGGCCTCCAGCAGACGCTACAACATCGAAGAAAATGGAGGACAGATCGAGGGTGAGTCTGCCTAACAAATAATTTCAGAAAAAATACTTGCTACTGCATCGTTACATGGAAGTGGATTCGAAAACTTTAACGGAAGAGTTTTCTATAAATATATGCTGATAGCAAAAGAATTTGAAACAAAGGTTGCAAACAAAAGTAATTTAGCTTTGACTCATAGACTTATTCAAATTTATCCATAATGAAAATTTATTAAGCCCAAAAATTGCATTCTTATTCTTCGAAAATAATATTTAAAGTTCAAATAAGACTAATCATTAGCTGGAACAAAGCTTATTCCGTTTGTCTACGAACTTTATATATTATATTCACGTGTAATTCGTTCAATCGTGCAACACAGTGAACGTGACAAGCTTGTCTGGAAAAGAAGAATTCAAAGGCTTCGTGGTGGCAGCGTACGATGAAGACCAGCAGCCTTTTGGATATTTTTTGCCGAGTCATCACGCGCATCAGGTAAATTGCATAACATATTACAATGGTCGTTCCACTTATTGACGACGGAAGCATAAGACTAAATAAGTCTTATTAATTTCATATATTAACTTGTATTAACTGATATTTTTACAGTAAGGCCACTGAATTTCGGCATTTTAATGACTGTATGAACTGTTCGAAATAACTTTTTGAAAATTTGGGTCCATAACTCCAAGTCAAACATCCTTTATTGAATATCATTTATGAAGTTGATAAAACATAAAGTTGATAGAAGCTACGTACGTGCAAGTGCATAGAGCAACATTTAAACTTCATGTAGCCTACCATCGATACGAATTTATTATAAAAGCTAATTTTTCCAAGCTCGAGACTATTCATCATTACGTACTTTTTAATTACAGATTCCTCACTGCGACAAACAGAATAACGCACACAGCAAGAAGCTGGTGACGCTTTTCTGGAGACCTCCGACAGAGGGCGCTCCAACTACTGGCGCCGTTATATTCAAGTAAGTGACGTCCTTTACGACATTTCCTAGNCTTCTGACTTCGACTTCGGACTACCGCCCCCCTATCGCCCCCCAAACGCCATCTTCTTCCTTATCGCCCCCCTAAATCTTTCCACCGCCCCTAGGGGGGCGATATATAGGTCATAGGATCATTGATGATATATAGGTCATAGGATCATTGGAAAAACAATTAAAAGATAAAACACTGATATAGGTCATAGGATCATTGGAAAAACAATTAAAAGATAAAATACAATACATTAAACACATTCCTCGAACCAACAAGTGACCTCACCCGAAGTGTGTCAGAAGCTGTCTTGTATTCGACTAACCGCTAACGTATGTAGTATATGAATTCATAAATTCTACATAAACGGTTCCACATAATCAGGCCCATACGATGAATACGTCAGAAAACAGCATTAGTTCAGTCGTTAGATCAATTCAAATTATTTCGCAAAACTGAGACGTGGAGTGGCTGAACACTATAAAACAAAGGTTGCAAACAAAAGTAATTTAGCTTTGACTCATAGACTTATTCAAATTTATCCATAATGAAAATTTATTAAGCCCAAAAATTGCATTCTTATTCTTCGAAAATAATATTTAAAGTTCAAATAAGACTAATCATTAGCTGGAACAAAGCTTATTCCGTTTGTCTACGAACTTTATATATTATATTCACGTGTAATTCGTTCAATCGTGCAACACAGTGAACGTGACAAGCTTGTCTGGAAAAGAAGAATTCAAAGGCTTCGTGGTGGCAGCGTACGATGAAGACCAGCAGCCTTTTGGATATTTTTTGCCGAGTCATCACGCGCATCAGGTAAATTGCATAACATATTACAATGGTCGTTCCACTTATTGACGACGGAAGCATAAGACTAAATAAGTCTTATTAATTTCATATATTAACTTGTATTAACTGATATTTTTACAGTAAGGCCACTGAATTTCGGCATTTTAATGACTGTATGAACTGTTCGAAATAACTTTTTGAAAATTTGGGTCCATAACTCCAAGTCAAACATCCTTTATTGAATATCATTTATGAAGTTGATAAAACATAAAGTTGATAGAAGCTACGTACGTGCAAGTGCATAGAGCAACATTTAAACTTCATGTAGCCTACCATCGATACGAATTTATTATAAAAGCTAATTTTTCCAAGCTCGAGACTATTCATCATTACGTACTTTTTAATTACAGATTCCTCACTGCGACAAACAGAATAACGCACACAGCAAGAAGCTGGTGACGCTTTTCTGGAGACCTCCGACAGAGGGCGCTCCAACTACTGGCGCCGTTATATTCAAGTAAGTGACGTCCTTTACGACATTTCCTAGCAAACTCATATCAAATAGGATCATTGAAAAAACAATTAGAATATAAAATTAGTCAGAAGCTGTCTTGTATTCGCCTAACCGCTAACGTATTTTTTTATAGTTGTGGTTAAGACTTGTGGCGACAAATACGCCCACCAGTACGCTAACGTATGTAGTAGGCTATATGAATTCATAAATTCTACATTAACAGTTCCACATAATCAGGCACATACGATGAATACGTCAGAAAACAGCATTAGTTCAGTCGTTAGATCAATTCAAATTATTTCGCAAAACTGAGACGTGGAGTGGCTGAACACTATATGCATTTGTATTTGAATATATACGAAGGCAAAAAAGATCATTGTTAATTATTGCATAAAAAGGCTAATATTTTGCAGGAATACTCTAGCCATGGGCCTATGTGACGGCTGACGCACTAGTAGAATAGCATTTAAATGGGAACGTGGATAAGTATTGAATCTGCATGATATGGCTTTAAGAAATGAGAAAACTCTGTCCACATGTAACATGAGTTACATGACACGTAAATTTCATCGAACTCTGCGGATAAATTATTACAAATAGCAAGTTTTCTATTCCGGTAAATAGACAATAGTGAAAAAATAAGATACTTGAACATTTTAAAGATATTTTGACTTAAAAGCATCACCGAGCATTTTAGTATCAGTTTAGCGAAGAAGTTCCTTCTTTGAATGAATTGATTTGATCACATATATAATCAAAGGTTGTTGAGGTTGGCATTCTCTATCTATTAGTTTCCAATAGTCAAAACTAAATTAAATTCTATTGCACACATTCAAAAAACCTAGACGAACTTTAACCTATTATTTCACAAGTTTTGCAATGTATCCCCGAAATATCTTTCTATGTTTAATTTTCATGCGTCACTTTTTCAATACCCCTGTGCAGGGCAACGGTGGTGCGGAGCTACCATCATTTTTGGGTTAACATCATCAGTACCAACAGGGCTGACATCGCTCTCTCTTCTACATGATTATGGCGAAAAATTCTTGACAACATCGTAGATGCGTCAACCAATAACTGAAGATTTTCAAACTGTCCTCATAGGTGTTTTTTCACCGCTAAGGANCAAGGTCCAATCACTTATTCTAATTCGTCTATAATTTTCAAACAATGTATTGACGAAGAGGGTGGTTTGGGTAACTTGGGTTTTTGAGTAAGATTTTACAGCAACCTTCGCGCTTCCCTAACTAATTAATGGTCACGTCCAGTGGGGTTGTAGTAAAGACTGTGAAGTTCAGATAGTTTATTGGGGTTGAAGAACGAAGACACCGACCGACCAACACCCCTTAGTATAGATGTTAACACGTCGACGTGAAAAAAGCAAAGTGATTCTACCGTATGGTTCTAGCTCTGTCCGCTAGCCCGTTCTAAACGAAAATCACACTTTCGAGTGATCGAATTAAATATAAAAAGTATTTTTGTCGTATATCGAACTATATTGTAACTCAAAAATCATACGAATATTATTGGTGCTAGAAAATTGAGAATATCTCTTCACAGAATGTTTGCATGATTGTTCAAAAGTTAAATTGACGACATAGGAAGTAATTGGCAAGTTTCTAGTTAATTAAGTTGCGAATAGCTATAGAAATGGGTGATTAACGAGTTTGAATAGTTAATAAAATAATTACGAAATTCACAAGAAATGATGTGCGAGTTATGACCGAGTCACTACAGTATTAACCTATTGAAAAGTAAACAACTGAATCTATCTCGATTATTCTAACAATTTTATTCTTTTTTTCCACATTTATTAAAATAATTGACAATAAATGAATTTTTTACTTATTTTTGACCTAATTTCTAATCAAAACTTTTGACAATTATCATTATCTCGTAGCTATTACATTTTCAATACGAAATCAGAATGGTCCATATCCAAATAATTGTGCGTTGCAGTTGAAGCAAATCTTTGTTTTTAATTTATGAATTAGAGGAACTTCGTTTAGATTTCTAGAAACACATCTATCCACATGAACAGCTTGTAGTATATTTATCATCTCAAACGATTCATTTCGACATATTTTGTAAGGAAAACAAAAAAAATAACAAGCTAACAGTTAGTAAGTTTAGTGGCTAAATGTGTACTAACGCTTCAGCTATCTAGCTATCTCGTACCGAAAGTCAAGATGAACACCACCAAAGAGGTGGAAGATCTCAGTTATCGAAAGATTCTCAAATCAAAAATTGGTTATCACCCACAAGGGGCGGAAGGTCTCAATTGTCCAGACCGCTGAAGCTGGCTCGAAGGAAGCAGCGTTAGCATCTCAAAGAGACGAAGTGACAAGGAGGGACAACACCAAAGAGGTGGAAGATCTCAGTTATCGAAAGATTCTCAAATCAAAAATTGGTTATCACCCACAAGGGGCGGAAGGTCTCAATTGTCCAGCCCGCTGAAGCTGGCTTGCTGGCTTGAAGGAAGCAGCGTTATAATCTCAAGGAGACGAAGTGACAAGGAGGGACAAATAACAAAGAGGGACAGGTAACAAGGAGGGACACGTGACAAGGAGAGAAAAGTGATATGGAGAAACAAGTGACAATGAGAGACAGATGATGAGCAACAGAAAGTAAGACACTCGAACAAGAGGTCGCTTACACGGGACGTCGGCCGCCCGCACGAGAGAGACAGAGAAGGGAAATGGAAGGAATCCTGCCTACATAAAAACTTAACCCCACAACTGAGACCTGCAGTCACACACCGCGAGCTCAGCGGTGAGACGCTCAGGAACAATCCCCCTATAGGAGCCTATACTAGCTAACATGATAATACTGATGTAATTTCATGGCACTCCTAGCTATGAGTGGATCCAATTATAAAATTAACAGTGCAAATCTCTGATAATAATTACAATGTTGATTACCCTCATCGTGTAGACGATTTGTTTGTTTGGTTTTGGAATACATAAATAGGAAAATTGATAATTCTTGACGGAATGGCTGATCGTGGAAAACTTTTTTGTAACTTCTAGGGTAGAATGTTTAGGACAGACAGACAGTCGGACATGGCGAGCACAATAGTGCATTTTTTCAATAAATGAGAAAATGCGCTAAAAAGCACGGCTTACGGAACAACGACAACATTCCCACATACACATGCAGCCGACATACACATGCAATGTCAATCTTCACAGTCCCACATGCAGCCGACGAGTAAGGCAGTCAGTCAATGCCAGAAAGCGAGCGATAAATGCACAATTTTAAATCTTAACCAAAGACAACCTTCGGTAATTTCCACGTTAATAACGCGGCTGGAAAGTAATTACAGTTATTCAGCTATATAAGAATGATAGGTTCGTACATAGCCGAAATATAATTTCATTAAATTACGTACCAATATTCCGTAGTCACAGTGAAAACTATTGATCGATCATCACCAAGCCTCGCTTCAGGCATCAAACTATATACCTATAATCACGCCTATACACCGCATAGGCGTATAGGCGTACGCTTGAGTTAAACGCTTGACTCAAGTATTTGACTAAGCCGCTTGATCACTTACGGGCTCCCGAAGACGCGTGACATGGAAAATCAACTTTTGCAGATTAAAATGCTGGCTGTACGCCTGCATATACACTAGAAATTCTGGTTAATAATGTAATAATGCATTATTAATTTTTTATTAAGGTAATAATGCTGGAACCTGTACGTATACGTACAATCTAGAAGATCATAACCGGACTTCAGCACACTCTAAAACTAAGAGCTTGAATATTTGGGTCCTGGACTGTACACGAGCAGCTCTCCTTCTAAAAGGTGCCAATTTACTCAGTGACTTGCCACCAAGGGCGCTGAAACGTAGAGGCGCTAATAGAAGCGTAGCTGAGGCTACAAGACTCAAGTAACCTGAAAACAACTTGCAGCAGTCACGCCGCTGTAACAACTATATTAAATTCTGAAAACATCCGCTTCTGAACTACAATATTAACTAACAATTTTTTGTTCTATATATGAACAATACTAAAACCACATTTTTCGTATAGCTGTATGTACATAATATAAAGCGAAGATAATGAATGCCCATAACGCGTACAACGTCAAGAGCTCATATGTGTGCACTTGTCGTCAACGCTTAACTCTGCATGTGCGCAATCGATTAAATCAGAAGACTTGGATGCACAAGACTTCATTCGCAACATCATAATTTAATAAACTCTATTTCAGCAAATAAAACCTAGCAACATTTCACATTCCCTTACAAAGATGGTCTGTGTTTCATATGAAACTTGTACATGAACTCTGCATTAATGAAACGGAATTAAACAGAACAGACAGTACAAGCTTCGCCGCGGCCATCCTCATTTACTCAGCACCTACACACACCGCTTAGGCAACACATACTCGAACTTATTTTCGCACTGCCCAGAGCAACAGCAGTCCAAGCCGACGCGGGTGGCGGTCTCCCAGCGCATTCTGATGTGACCGGATAACAACATAAGAAAACGCATCAAATATCACTTTTGGCAGCAGGACAATGAAAGTCAACAGTACCAGTATATCATTAACTTTCAGTATATTTTGTGAGAATAGGAAGTATAGAGCATTTATTTCAAATAATCTTAGCACGGCGAGTGAGGAAAAACTTGAGACGTACGCGCAACCAATAAACGAAGCTACCCTACAACTGTTGATCATATAAATGAATTACTAAAATTCACACCTTTTGATACACTAGCTTTTTAAGAAGACGAAGGGTTCAATAAGCAGAAAACAGAAGGAGACTTGCTTAAGCTCTCTCGAGTCAGAATGATCTACGAGCCGGTATAAACACTCGATAATTTAGACGTTGTAAATCTACTAGACATCAAAGGCTTAATGAATCACAAGAGAATCACAATATTCATTAAACATTCTATTTCCACTCAAGTGATTGTATAGAAACCATGACGAATTTCGATGAAGTTGAGAGTTTTCCAAAATAATGCAGAGGTAAATATTCAAAATTTTTAGAACATGAGCGAATTACGCAGACGTATTCCTCTCGTAGGACATCAATCGTATATTTCCTGAAAATTATACATGGGACCTATAGCCGCGACACCAATAACGTCTCATAGAGACGAGAGCAAAAGATGCAATTTTATTAATGAAATAGCAGTGAACCTTAACCAGAACTGCTTGAGAAGCATCCGTTTGTGATAAAGATCTTTTGAATATGCATTTGAAATTTAGCATTCAAATGCAAATAAATTAAAAATTGAATTCTCAGTAGGAATTCACGAACTTGTGAAACGTCACTTGAATAAAATCAAAGCTACCAAATAAAGCAGGCAGTACAATGGGAAACTCGATTAAGATGCGAAAAAGCGTTCAATTTAATGACTTAGGTTGTGGCATCGTTTCGCAGACCGCTGTAAAATGAAGTAATGATTTCTAATGGAACATTCATTGATAACTACCAATGGTCAAAAGTTCGTGGAGGCTGCAAGAGGAGAAATTTTCCCTAAGAATTTTATTATGCTGGAAAAAATCTCCCAACGAGAAGAATAACAGAAGCACATTCTTGATGTAGTTAGGACAAATACGACCCTAAATTGTTCATTATAAATATTCTACAAGGCCTAATCCAACCGCAACAGCATGTCAAGATGGACAATAATACAGGGCATGCTTCTCAGCACTAGCACATCCAATTATTGCTCAATGTTCTAAGAAGAACCAAGCTTATCCATACGCAACAATACGATTTCCATTGGATTTGAAAAATGGAGCCATCATTTCAGAGGCACATCTGACACCAGCAGCGATATAAATTTTGTGAGTGAAGCCGTGTTTAAAGTTTTTGCTTCAGCGCGATTTTGAAAATAATCAGTATAGATGCAACCTGATAACAGCTGATGTAAGCCCTCTCACCACCTAATATCAACTTCGAATCATCAGCAATGCTGCAGAAGCATGACTGAGCTTCATAAACTTTTGCTACTTTGTCACCCAATTTTACATGCACAATTATAATGTTAACCCCAACGTCAATGTGGTCACAATCACTATGCAAGGCTAAAATAAAACTCTAATTACTGCGTTACTAGGTGGGGTCCAGTGACATGGACGAAACAAATCGACACAAGACGATAACTTGTCCTGCATGACCGGAAGCTTAACCACGTTAATAGAAAGAAGGAATGTTAGAGGACCAGCAACGAACCAAGTCAGAACGGCCAGTGATCAAAAATGAAAAATCACCCTCATCGTGAAAAAAGATGAAACTAACACTAGACTAAATTGTGACTAATGATGTTTGAAATAATAAGTGTGTAATTCAATAGATGATTTGACCGAAAACATCGCACAATTTTCTTAGCCTAAAAACATAGGCTAATCGTATAGACAACCCGAATATTTAAAATACAATTAACTCCACGTGAATGAGTAACCATCGCAACTCTGCGTAAAACTTCCTTGTAGACATAATTTGGCCCAGCGGCGTGATGGATATGCTTGCAACAGGAATCCTTGCAAGCAAGCAAATGGTTCGCTAACGTCAGCCGAAAAACACGACGCACGAAAACTGAGTCGATAATATAACCTCCAGTGATCCGTTCTCCAGTGGAAGTGACCAAAGGCACACGAGTCCAAGTTGAGAGTACGGAAACCTCACAGATAAACAAATGAACACAGAGGAAATTTTCTAATAAACTGAATGAAACCAGCGAGCGAGCATTTTTTTGAAGGTCCTCTTGAAAACTGGCTCAGGTCGGTTCCGTAGGTCATAACTGGCGAGTTCTTTATTGAATTAATAACTCAAATTCAATGCCCAATTAATTTAAAATAAAGTATAAATTATATAATAAGACATCCATAAGGTCCACAGGCGTAATAAAGTTTTAATAACATTTAAATACAGTATAAATCTCGTTACATGCTTCTTCAGACGGTAGTAACGCATAGACTAACTTTCAATGTCATCATAATATCCAATCAGTACGGTTGTAATAGCTCCAGTAGGTAAGCAAGGCTCGAGTTCAACTAAGTGGCAAAATCAGTGCATAGCTCTGAGTTATAAACAGATATTAACCCGGTTTACAGAAACACAATATATAGCCGTACAAAAAATAACATCAATTCACGGCCCACCAATGATAAAATGATAATTTTACCGAATAAGATGCATAAACAATATTAGCGTAGAAACAAAATCCTGCCGCACACTAAGCAAGTCAAGATACAGATGACGAATATATTTAAGTGCTGCTAACCTAATCACTCTCAGATTGTAGACTTAATTTGGTGCATTTCTGCAATAATTTTAATCAACTTAGGTGCTCGTAACACGTCACCACCTCGCATCAGAGGAAATATTGTCCCTAATGCAAACACAACACTCGAAATATTTTCAATAATATTAACGTAGTGATGACATAACTAAGAATTTATGCAGATTGTTTTCAAACATTCCAAAATACTATTGTTTACTTCACTAAACAAATGAGAAAAAAGTTATTTAACTCTATGCTGAAGCACTACGATATACAGAGACGTCTAATAAAACTGCGCTTTTAAAGACTTGAATTTTATGGTGGTGCCGTTGACGACAAGAATGCCCTTGTCGTCATTCGACGATGTCGAATGACGACAAGGCACTCGTTGACGAGTGCCGTTGACGACAAGAATTGTCAACGATTCGTCCGCCCTCTCCGGAGTTGAAAAGTGTAAATGTATATTTTTTATCCAGCACAGCAGGAGTTGCTGCGCGTGTGACCGGCAAAATTTCGTTCACAGCTGAAAAATTCAAGCTCCTTCAACAAAACGCAAACCCAATTAGACAATTGAATGGCAAGAATTCTATTGAAGCGATAACGGAGACAAGCGAATAGTATTTTGAGAAATTTTTGCGAGATTTACGGTTGATTATATGTATTGAAATTTATTTGAAGCGAAGAGCAGAGATGTGGAAATTATGTGTGTGTGAGAAAGACGATTGTTTAAATATCTTTATAAAATATCATGGGAACCTCGCATAACATTCCAGCAAATTGTTTGCTTGCCAATTAACCTCTAGTCCGAGAGCCCAGTCTGAGCATTATCTTCGAATAGATAGAATTGAGTTCGTACTAGAATATCTGAAAAGTTGTGGGAGTTCTTTACTTATCAAATATACAAGCAAGTAGATAAATAATTTATCCTTATGATAGAAAAGTATAAATTCTCTAATGTCCATGGCATAATAGTAGCAGTTACTAGGCCAACCATCTACTAGAATAATGTAGTGACGACCGTTCTCTGCTTCAGCCAAAACTCCACTACCCTAACCGAACTTACTCTCACAAGACGTAACAATGAGTATCTTGAAAACACGTATTTCTGCAACGGTAACATTGCAAATACAATTTATGCTGATTTGATTTGAAAAACTGCCAAGGTGACTTATTAATTGTTCACAATATTGGATGAAGTTTTAAAAATGCATACTCGATCGATGTGGATTAGTTTCGTTAAGAATAGAGGTGACATGGAGTTAGTAAACAGTGATGTTATAACAGGATATGTCTTGCACTGAAAAATTATTCTACTTTGAATTATTCAAATTTAATTCACATCAAATATTAAACGATTGCAATTTAATAATCAACAAAATAACTTAGAAATCGAGGAACAATAGCTAATGTCGCAGAACACAAGAAACAAACAACCATCAGCATTGCCATGGGGCTACTGTACAATTGGTAGAAAATGAAACGATCAAACTGGTAGAATATAGCAGCCCCGCCGCATGAAATCAGCAGGCAGCGTAACAAGTAAGGACCATGGCAATTTTTCCAAGTGTAAATTATCAACATTAACTGCACAGGAACTCGCGCATCACCAATGAAATGTGAAAACTTTAAAATCAACAGGCAGTATAAGAAGAATTCTCTCATCCTCTGACCATATTATCAAATTGCAGAGGCTGATAATGCCTTTAATGAGGATGCTCAGCCAACAATGTTGCGCCCATGTAATTATAACAAACGAAGACTTACATACTCAACAATTTTTATACATAAGGCTTCTGAGTCAGGTTATGAACAATCCGATTGACATCGTAAAATAACAAAAGAACTTTTCAACGTGACAACACAAATATTTGTGAGCAGCCAACCGCATGACAAATGAATATTTGAGTCACAAAACAGGTAAAGAGAGGCCGTTTTTGTACTCGGCAACGACTAAAAAAGAACAGAAAAAAATCCGACTGTTTTCGTTGCAGCCGTGATGAGAAGTGCAATAATTTAAATTTCAGTTGATTCTTATAAAAGGACTAAAAGAAATTGTTTCGTGATGCTGAAATTACTCTATGGAACAAATATGTACCAATTCAATGAGAACGTATACACATTACACACATGACTCTGGCCATACAGAACACAACATAGAGTCGATGTAATTTTCTGGAACTACTGAGCTTAGTGAAAGAAGACCAAACTCAACTACAGTTAGAGCTGTTCTTTTTCAGACCAGTTTACCGACATGATAATGTGACAATCAAGCAGAGCATAATATCATGATAGAAAATCTCATCAGTTTTCCTCAAAATTTAGGTCAAAAATGATTGCTACAAACTGACTACACATTTAGTTGCAACGGCAAGGCAGTCTTTGACGACAATAATAATCATATCATACTTGGAACTACGTGCTTCAATAAAGACAGCCGAAATGGCTGGGCGTGAATTAGACCGCAAAAGAATAGCACAACATTCTAGACACTGGATTTGGAGGCAGTCACATAGAAAAGATATTTTCTCATGAGAAGCAGTGGAGTAAAAATATAATTGACAGTTGGGTTGGCCGAAGTAATTGTCAGAGGAGTATCAGAGTATGGAGCATTTGCTAAGCCAACTGCTGAAGGAGGCTTTGCTAGGTGTGTCGCTGGCTTTGATGTTGTGACCGCCTCCTTTAGATGCTCCACCTCCGGCTCCGCCACCTCCGCTTGCCTCCTGAGATAAAAAAAATTTACATCAAGCGCAATAAAATTTTTTACTTCATAAATAAGTGGACCTTATATTCAAGTTTTTCTTCAAATCTGTTATCTATAACAAAATGCGTTTGCTGTACAAAAAAAACTGGTGTTTTGGATAATTGTTCATTGGTTTTTGAGACTGGCCAAAAAACTCGTTTTTGCAGAACAATGAAAATTAATCGGACGGAGTTGCTCACGTAGCAGTCAACACCAATCAATGACAAGCAACTTTCAAGAATGGTGACATTCAAATTAACTTCACTGAAAGAACATTGACAAAACCAAATTAACTGCATTCTAGAAATTTTTGAAATTTAGTTGATGAAGGCAGCTGCAGTCCAATTAACAAATTCTCAAACAATCACAATACAAAAATTCAGTGTGAAATGTTCGAAAATTATCTATAATCTAGTTAATCTAGTAGGTATTCCTGACAAAATAATTGCTGACCTTGAATAAAAAGTTACCACTGAAAACAACAATAAGTGACGGTCATAATATTCAATTTTTATCGCATGCATTGCTTACAACTTTCTTCTCCATCTTAGTTTTGATGTCCCTGGCTAAAGTGAAGAAAGCTTCCTCGACATTGATGGACGCCTTGGCTGAGGTCTCCATGAACTTGATGCCGTACTCTATGGCCAGCTGCTCTCCTCGCTCTCTTGACACCTGACGTAAAACACTCGTGACTATCATGATATATTACATATATATACTATATTTTGCATAATATCATGAATTTTTATTTTTTGTGTAGTTTATTTTGAAAAATAAACATTATTTAGAATTTGAAAATTACAACTGCATTAAAAAGTTGGAAAATTTAGGCAAGCTTTGAAAAGTTGTACATCAAATTTTAATTCAGATGAAGGAATGAATTCATCATCACATTTGAAATAATCAACCATCTATAGCAAAAGCTCTATAAATAATTATTTTTAAATCTTTCATCACCCACTTTGGCTAAGAACCCCCAGAAAAGTAATATTCACAAAACAAGAAATAAATATAAAGAAAAGTAAAAAAGTATTAAACTATATACAAATTTAAATAATCCACTTGCATTGATACAAAGCAAAAATTTATAACAGAATAAGCAGTAGTCACCTTTTTCTTTCAGCAAACTAAAAATTCCAATCCGTACATTGATTTTTCTTGCTGTATAAAGTTACATAGAGAGCACCAACACATGACATACATACCTGTCTTTTGTCATTCATATCACACTTGTTGCCAAGAATCATCTTTTCAACATCAGCAGAAGCATGCTCTTCAATATTCCGGATCCTGAAAAAAAAGATGAGGTTAATTACAACAGCACCTCAGGATGACATTTGCTTACACTGTTGCATTTGCCTAATTAATAATAAAATCAGCTAGTGGCTACAACATTGTAGGAGAAAATGTCAGTAATATCCATTTAGTTGGCTTTAAAAATCAACAAGTAAAATTATCACAGTAAATTTAAAACATCACATTAAAAAAAATTAGTTCAGGCATTTGAAGACCAGCAAAATTATGGCAATGCTTTTTCAGGATAATTAATACACTGGGAAGCAATTGTAAGCATAATTATCAAAAGAAAGACATGGTAAAGAGAGTGCAATTGGAATTTTATAAGTAAAGGAAATAAAATATATTGTTAAGACTCATTTACCTAATTGATGTAAGATGTTCATGATCCATTCCAATTTCCAATCAATTTCCAAAATTTATGATTCAAAATTTATTATTTAAGATTTGGTATAAATTTTAAATAAATCAAAATAAATATTACTTGGCAATAAAGTGCCACAACTAATATTTCAAACTAAAATTAACATAGAATATATTGGAGTAGGTAATTAAGATTTAAAAAGAGAGGTAGATTTCTAAAGGAAATCTACCTCTCACCAGTTCTACCTTCCTCCATAACTCACCAGTTCTTGATGTTATCAAAACTTTTATCATTTGTGATGTCATAGACAAGGAGGATGCCCATTGCACCTCGGTAATAAGCTGTTGTGATGGTGCGAAATCTCTCCTGGCCAGCAGTGTCCCAAATCTGCAACTTGATTTTCTTGCCATCTAGCTCGATTGTGCGAATTTTGAAGTCAATACCTGTAGAAAAATATTGGTTAACACTCAACTATGTTGATTACTCAGCAAGAAAGACTAATACGGTAGACATTCAGGAGCAGAAATTAGTTGAGAGCTATGCATTACCCACGATGTTGGAATATGGTGCCTTTACCCTACTATATGATCATTAACAAAAGTGCATGCTCGGTGCTCATGCCACAAGATTTCAAATATAGGAAAACTAGGTTAGAATTTAGATTGTACTTAACATGTCTAGGGTAAACGCGGTATATTCCAACACATTAAGGACGCATCGAGAAATGAAAAACTATAAAAAATTAACCTTAGTTAGTTAGTTTAGTGGCCAAATGTTTACTAGCGCTTCAGCTATTTAGCTATCTCGCACCGAAAGTCAAGATGAACATCACCATAGAGGTGGAAGGTCTCAATTATTCATCACCCACAAGGGGCGGAAGGTCTCAATTGTCCAGCCCGCTGAAGCTGGCTCGAGAGAAGCAGCGTTAGCATCTCAAAGAGACAAAGTGACAGGTGAAAAGCAACAGAAATGAAGACACTCGAACAAGAGGTCACTTACACGGGATGTCGGCCGCCCGCACGAGAGAGACAGAGAAGGGAAATGTAAGGAATCCTACCTACATAGTGACTTAATGTAAGGAATCCTACCTACATAATAACTTAACCCCACAACTGAGACCTACAGTCAGACACTGCGAGCTCAACGGTGGGGCGTTCAGGAACAATCCCTCTAGGAACGCGAAATCCCATAGGACTTCTGACGAGCACAGACACAATCCAACATCTCAACTTAATCATCTATTAATTTATTTACGACTTGAAATCAGCGAATACAAGTATACTTAAAGGCATAGTGGCAAAGCAGAAAGTTTTTTAGACTCTTTCTCAAGTTCATTTTTGAGTCCTATAAGTAGACCAGTAAAGTATCTTGGTTACCAGAGTTATCATACATAAGAAATCTATTAAAATCTGGGTAAATGAGGAAATTAAAAATGAACTGATTCTAAAAAAATATCTGGTTTGCCACTATGCTTAAAGGATTCCTAATATATTCACAGACGTATTTAAAAGTCTCAAACCATAATGTTCTTCCTATAAAAACAGTTATTCACTATTTGGTAAAGCCATGTCCACTGTCAAATTTGACACATTTTTCGATGATCTCACCACGTGGCATGCATTGTCTCTCTTTGGATCTCAATATTTTCCCACTAGATGGCCAAGACCTAGTGTTTTGGCAGTATTTTGACTCGCAAATGCATGACGTCACCATTTCAACCAATAACAACCATCAACAAATGCATGGAACTAAAACAAAGCTTAATATAAAGGAAAAGCTGGAGAGGTGACGGAATTACCTACGATGTCGGAATATACCGCATTTACCCTAGTAAAAAAATTGCATCATTTTGAAAAAAAAGTGGTCAAAGTTACCCCATTTTACAGTACTTAACATGTCTATTCAGCAGGACATCAGTCAGTAGGCTACTAAGTGGGAAAATTCCATATTTAATCAGTCTAATGCCCAATTTTCCAGAATTGCATACAATGGAAAATTGTTAGGTGTCAAGTTGCCAATAATGTCACATTGTCACCAGAAATTTAGAAGAAGTTTTCCAATCCAAGTTAGCTACAACTTCAAGATAAATTTTCAATCACCAGCACTCAATTTGCTGCTGAAGTCTGCAACTATTTTAAATCAATAATCCAGAGAAGCAGAAAGTACAGTAGTTAGATTGCTTTAGACTAGTACCAGTAGGCAGTAGCTAGCTACTGCTATAGTTTATGTTGGCAGCCTAGGCTATAACAGTAGGTATAGGTACCTAACGATCAACGATGCTCATTGCTCATCACTCACCTATCGTCGATATGAACGTTGAATTGAAAGCATCTTCTGAAAATCTGAAGAGAACACAAGTTTTTCCGACACCCGAGTCTCCTATCAATAATAATTTGAATAGATAATCATATGTTTTTGCCATTCTATCCAGTTATCTGTTCACAATTAACTAAAATTAGGATTAACAAGCTTTCAAGTCTGCTTTAAGAATTGCGGAAAGTTTGAGATCGAACGGCAATAAATGTCTTTACAGAATCTTTTTACAGCAAGAAGTGATTTGGTTGCAGTATTTTGTTACTAATGTAAATTTGAAAGTTCTAATTAATTTGACCGTTGAGAAGACGAAATATTAATCACAGTATATGCCAAATTTACTCTTTCTGATATAAATGTGTTCAACGCGTGAAATCTATTCATAATTTCTCACTCTGTTGTATATTTTGCATGAAAAAAAAAACCTTGAAAATGTCGTTATTCTTATTTATTGGTCTTATTCATGGATTTTTGTTCGTAAAAATTGAATAGATTGAACCGAATCGACACTTCAGCGAACTGGCCTGCGCACTAGATTACAAATTATTGATATCTACTTAATTTTCAAATTTGAATGAAATCCGTTCATTATTGATGGATTTATGGCTGGTTGAGTTGAAAATGAAGTTAGGTTTCCCGTATTAATAAAAAAGTTATTGAGGTAAAAATCTGAAATAATTCCGTCCACAAATTACTGATATTATTTACATAATTTTCAAATTTGAATGAAATCCGTTCATTATTGATGGATTTATGGCTGGTTGAGTTGAAAATGAAGTTAGGTTTTGCATTTGAGTGCACAGGCCAATTCGCACGCGAGTTCGCTGAAGTGTCGATCCGGTATAGATTGACCAGATGAAGCTATGCAAAAGCATATATTTCGACTGGAACTGCCTCAAACCTCACAAATTGGAGGATATTCATCATCTACTTAGTAGCTTCAATGTCAGTTTTAGAATTTGGATAGAACTGGTCAAAACTCCAGGTTCTTAGATATCTAAGAGACAAATCAAAAACATTGTAAGAAACTGTGACATGCCAAATTTACCGTGTTCTTCGACGCCTATGTTGTGCTTTATTAGTCAACCCGGGCTAGAAAGGATGACGTCACGGCGCCGAATCGCGAGATCAGCATAGTGAGATTAGCCGCCATATTTGTAGCATGGTCTAGCTGTTCAATCTACTGCAGTTGTCTCCTTCTGAAGTTTTTGCTTGAAGATGGGCTGCTCCTGTGCCGTTGCTGGATCTATCATTCGTTCACACGACAATTTAAACAGAAAACTGGACAATGGAATGAGCTTCTTCGGTTTACTAGCCGTGAATGCTGTGAATATCGTATGAGTTTCCGTTTCATACTGATATACGTATTGTATATAAGTTTACCAGTCGTGAATATTTATTATATATGATACTGTATATTTCCCAGCGGGAAAATCTGTTACTTGCCACTAATTAGCTGCATAAGTATGAATAAAAAACAATAATATTGTCAGATCACATTACATTTTCATGATCCATTATAATCACCTTGGCAGCAATGAGTGATGTTGCAGTAGGCTGCTTTGTGAGTGTATAACTGTATATCTTTTGCATTATCCGTCCATAAATTGCTTGAAAGCTTCAGCGTCTTGAATGCCTTGAATTCTTGCAAGGTGCATTGGCCCACATCAAATAGTTTAGAAAATCATCGTGTGAAACGGAAAGCAGGCTTGTAAAATCTGCACACCACTGCTTTGCCGGTACTTCGTAGGGATCAACATCGTTAATGTCGAATAATTTTTTTACATACCGGTATCTCGCTCAATGAAGGAGTTTTTGACAATATCAATATTGCCACCAAAACATCCAAACATGTAGGAACGAAAGAGTAGGCTAAAGCGCATTCGTGCTACAAAGATGGCAGCGTATAGCAACGCCGCTTACGTGGAAACGCGGGAGCTTGGCGAACCCGATTTTCTTCAGCATTCTACGACAGTTCATCATATTTTTTTTTTAAACAGTTCAACTCATGTCTGAAGTCCAGTTATTGCAGCATTTGTTACTAGCAATACTCTCGCTTTCATAAATTATGCTTTATTTTATTGTTAACATATTATTTCATAAATTATGCACTGAAAATTTACTTTTTTGCCATCATTAAATGGATAAAATTAACAATTTAAAATGTTGACCCGGCAGATTAGTCTAATCTGAAACAGATAAAGGATGTTTTGAAATATGAAAACTATTTTTCAAGCGCATTTATTTTCGGTGAGCAATAGTAGCATAATGATAATGATGTTATTTCTCATAGAATAGAATAGAAGTGTCACCACTGAAGAAATGGGCCTCTTGCCAATTCTTGTACTTCTAGTAAAGAATAGAAGTGTCGGCGTTGAAGAAATAGGCCCATGGCCTGTTGCCGATTTTTGAACTTTTCGTGACTTGATTCACAAGGGACCCGCCCGGCCTTTGGAACCCGATCTTTCCATAACTGACGATTGATTGAGATAGCTGCTGGACTTATTGCCTGGTCCGTAAGGTGCTAGACATTTCAATACTGAACATATGCTCCTGCATAGCTTCGTCTAGTCTGTTATTGAAGACGTTCATACTCGGAGCGTCAACGATATTATCAAAGAGGCTGTTCCACATGTCGCTGACTCGAAGCGAGAAGAAATTTTGTCCCATGGATGTCATACCACACAGTTTTTACAACACTCCTCTCTATTAACTTCAGTTCTTGTTTGCTTGTCTGCTATAAATCTTATAATCGATATTTAACACACTTCTACCTGTCCAATCGATCTGAAATTTTTCACACTTGCGTAAAATCGGAAACAATGCTTGAATCAATTGGCAGAATAAATAATTTTGAACTTTTAATTTTTTTATATATTAAAAAATTAATAATATATGTTTAATATCGGAGACACTGGATACTTCAGAAGCGTTGTATTTGAAAAGTAATTTTTAAACGCATATTATTTTAGTTTATAGCCGTGGCCCCCAGGTGTTGGTTATTGTTTCTAATTCTAGTAATCCTTCCTTCTGGGACCTTGTAAAACCTTGGGTACCGAAAGTTCCCAAAACAACTGCATGCAATTATTCAAGTTAACAAAGATCAAAAAATGTATCGCACGAAAGGTACAGATTTCTTCTTCATATTATAGAAACAACGTATTTTATTTTTTCTATGTTTTTTATTTCATGTAGCATAATAAAATGCAATCTCGTCTCACAAGCAATTTGTACCCGAGAGTTGTGGAGGCAAGTTGATTTTATTAATTTTTTCAGCCAACTTGACCTGCGTTGTCAGAAAATCAACAAGTTTATAAATAGCTGAAAATGTAAATAATAAAAATTTATTTCAACTTGAAATTAACGCACGATGTCTTTAAAGCTTAATAGAAATTTAAATATAATTAAATGCGAGAGCAAAATGAAGTTACGGAAGAAGTACTTGGATCGGTCAAAAAACCTGCTTCACGTATTTATCACAGCCACCGTCGCTTATTTTAATCTAAATTATTCCTATTCGAGAAACCATCTCATTCCTAAACGCCCAGAAAAGGTATTGAAAAAAATAACGTCGGCATCTAACAAGTATTAAATCGCAAGTTATAGTGAACAAGGCCGAACATGAACGAATTCATGAGAGGGATAACTTATTTTTCTGAATCACAATCATCACCAGAATGAATATACTCCAGTATTCTTCGAAATAATTCAGATGAGAATACGTTTAATTTAAAGTATTTTTCACATTTTCCAATGTAGTGGTCAGCATATGGTCATAAACTCATTGGAAATAACGATCTCAGTCAGAATAAGTAACAAATATTCTTGAAATTAGAAAAATATATCCTAGGTAGACTATAATTAAAAATCACGTTGAGTCAAGAGCAGGGTTGTCGTACGCTCTTGCCGTCGTTGCGTCGATGGTCGGCGACGCAAGTGGAGTTTTGGAGGCCTCGACGGCGACGCTCGACCGCCAGGCGATGAAGAAGCCAATCGTCGAGATCATTTTGACCACGAAGCAAAGAGCAAACATGTACCTGCAGACGTCAAAATAACGTGAGTTCATCGTCCCAAAGAGGAAGCATTGATCGTGGAAATTAATCGTAACGACAAAACAGAGACAAAAGAAAGAGACCATTCTCTTCTAAATTTGGCTATCAACAGCAATAAGATTATGGTAAGTTAGATTCGAATTCAGACTAGTCTAGAACGAAAAGTTTCAACGGGCTGGGAAAATTGAGGAAAAATTAACAATAACTAATATGAATCAAGACATTAGACTTGAATACGTTTGTTCTTCATGTTCTATATTCTAACAAGGAGTCGAACGACCAATTCTTCTAGCATCCTTCAACGAACTCGATATTTCCGAATAAAATTTTCGAAATAACGTCGCTCAAATTTACTTCTATTCTATAGCTGTCAGGCAGTAAGGCACACAATTGAGAGTTGTCGAGTGTGTTGGATGCGTGCTTGAACATCAAGTAATTGAATGGGCGTTTCGAGTCTAATTATATGCCAGCTGAGGTTCAAGTTATATTATATAATACAGGTGCCGACGTTACGATAAGGACTTTTCAACGGCAATAGCTGTTGAAGAGAAACTTGTACGTAATAAAGGTGACGGATATCTATAAAAACTTTTAATCAGCTGTACCAGTTGAGTCCCAAATTGTACTTTATAATTAAGATGACAGCATCATTATATGAACTTTTTTTCATGGCTGCAGGTACGGAGGAATAATTTGTATGCAATAAATGTTTCGGTATCATTATATGAACTTTTCAACGACACAACCTGCTGAGGTGCAAGTTGTCGTAGGCGACACAAGCGCCGGCAACACCACACGCCTCCCCCCACAGCACGCACGCCTGGTCGATGGCTATGCCGAAAAGCAGCGGCCCTGGGATGCTGCCGAGCACACGGAACGATATCGCCTGCAAGCCCAGCGCAAGCCCGCGATTTTCTGTCTCCACGCATCTAAATAAAGAAGAAGTTTGCATCTGTGAAATTTCGATACGGAACTTATCAACTGCTATGTATAGTCGTTATTTGAACAGCAAGGCATGATTTGTTCTGCTATGTTGTCCAGTTAGGGTAACATATAAATAGATACCTCAAGGTGCAACTTAATTCTGCATAATTTTGAACAAAACTATTTCCAATACACATTCACCACTCATTACAAGATAATTGTTACAGCTATATCAAATATTGCGAAAATATATCAGTGCCACTACGTACCTAATGCATCATGAATCACATAATTGTGATATGTCCATTAAAAAACTATTTCCACAACACGTTCTCCGCTCACTGCTCAATAACTGCTACAGCTATATAAAATATTTCGAAAATATATCAGTGCCACATCGTACCTAAAGCTTCATCATTCACATAATGTGACATGTCCATTAAAAAATCATTTCCACTACACGTTCTCCGCTCACTACTTAATAACTGCTACAGTTATATAAAATATTGCGAAAATATATCAGTGCCACCTCGTACCTAATGCATTGTCATTCACATAAATGTGATATTTCCATTAAAAAAATCAATATCACATAATGTCGGCGCACCTGAGGGTGCCGTTGACGCTAGGCATGGAAATGAAGAAGGTGGCTGACATGACCACGGCCACGGCGGCGATGAAGAGACCCAGGAAGCCGCAGTCGTTGGGGCAGAGGTTCGGCGTGGCCTGGTGGGGGAGCAGATGAGCTCCTGCCTCGCCAGACGCGTTGCCTGGGAGCTCAGCTAGGCATCGACACTCGCTGAACATCTGCCAGGAAATTATATGCATATTAGTTAAGACGTTACGAGGCTAGAGATAATACTGGAAACACCAAGGCAAATCATGCAACTTTAATTAAACATGGTGTTGATTGGCCATGGAAATTATTTGCATATTAGTTAAGGAGTTACATAGCCTGGAGATAATGCTGGAAACACCAAGAGGAATCGTGCAACTTTACTTAAATGGAAATAATGGCCACAAAATGGAAATAAATATGAAAAATTAAACGCTAAATACAATAGAGAGCAATGTAAGTTATTGTTCGAGTGCTTGGAAGTCATCTATGGCATTTATGATGAGGGCACAGTTCACACTTTCTACATTGGGGCGCTTTTTAAAATCCTTATACTGCTGAAGCTTTCGACATTATCGTTTGATCTTCCAAGAATTACATCAAAATTCAGTCAAAAAAATGTACAAACGTCTCTGAACTTCATATCTTCTGAAGTTCTTCAGAACTTAGAGAAGCAGTAGATGGAATTCAAAGGTTACATATGGTAAGGCATACCTGTTTCTGGTCGCCCGTAGAGGCGCGTGTGCAGCCTGCGTGGCAGGGCGAGTAATGGTAAGGCATACCTGTTTCTGGTCGCCCGTAGAGGCGTGCGTGCAGCCGGCGTGGCAGGGCGAGTAATAGATGACGTTGTTGGCACCACACACCGGGCTGAAGGCCACGTCTGTACACCCGCAGTCCAGGTTACAGCTTGACTCCATCTCTGGCGTCGACATGGAGCTTAAACTGGAGCATCGAGTCAAATTAGGGGGAATAGTATTCAAACAGGAACATGGAGACATGAATTGTTGGTGAATAATTAAAAAATTTCATTTCCGTCAATTTTTAAAATCAGGATATTTACCCTGTCTATAATCGATCGTCTGTCTCTCAGAGTTGCGAGCAATGCGTACATATCGGTATGGCGTCAGGTAACTTATATTCTGGACTGGCAGCCTTAAGAGGTGAGTTACATAACTAGAGACTTACAGACACATCCATCTTTTTCAGCCGTATGCATTCACACAAGCAGTGTAACGTCAATGTATCCCATAACGAATCAACACATGTAACGTCGTCTTCGTCTACCGTTTTCTGGCTAGCGAAAATACAATCCCTGTAAATTTTCAAAAGAGAAATAGTTCGAATACGGCCTTTAGCTGATACCCACTTAAAGGGGAATGAGATAAATTTTTATGCTTTCATTTGTTCAATTTTTTTTTTGTAATTGGACGCTTGGATTTCAGAACTAACGATGGAGCCGAACTCCAAAACGTTTTCAAAGGAGCTTTGGTCAATTTTAGCGACCCTTACATTGCTTAGTTTTAGTTACCTCACGGCTCAAACAATCAAGTGATCTTAATAAATTAAATATTGTCAACCAACGAGTTGTCCTCACCCGTCATAGTGAGTATTGATGCCTGCAAAAACGTTGTCAGGACAGTGGATGAAGAAAGCAAAGCACGTGAGGGTGACGAATATAGAAACTACGAAGCAGAGTCTTAAGACGCTCGAGCAGCCCATCCGCAACTTCTTGATCACCCAGCCACCCAAGAACGTGCCTCCTCCTCCAGCAGGCACTGCGATGGCACCTGACACAAACGTATATAAAACATACATGCATACATAAAATCTCATGTGAAATGATCGGGAACTCAAATCTTCGAACTACTCCTTCAAAAAAGATCATGCTGATAAGAAATTACAGTGTTACCTCTTAAAACGAAAAAAAAACTGTCATACTCGGCGACCTTGATCAGAGATGGAATTGCAAGAGGAAACTCTTTTACTCATATAGGATTAATTTTTTCATTATAATTAAATAGATAAAAAACGTAAATTAATTTAATTCCTTAAATTGAATCACATCACGTTCGTCACGCCCTGACTTATAATTTCACTGTTCACAATCCTCCCCATGAACTCAAACGACAGGGAGTGATTCGTCTATCTTTAAATTAGCACCAACTCACATTTTTTGTCAACAAGCATGTAATATCTTTTCGTCAACAAGCATGCAATATCTTCTCGTCAACAAGCATGTAATATCTTCTTGTCAACAAGCATGTAATATCTTCTCGTCAACAAGCATGTAATATCTTCTCGTCAACAAGAGCTGAGCTGGCCGCTATACCGAACTGTCGTTCCAGGAGTTTCGGCATGAAGGCAGCCATGCCAGAGATGATGAAGCCTTCCGTGGCCTCAGCAACGGACAAGAAGATGAAGGTGATGTTCGTGAGGAGTTCTTTTGAGGACCTGCAGAACCCGTCCAGGTGCTGGAAGCCTGTCACTCCAGACGCTGTCACGGCGTCTATGGCGTCAGGATCTGGCGTGGGGCGAGTGGCTGGCGGCACATCTTTGCCTGACGACGTAAAATCTTTATTTAACAATTGCTATTATGATGGACATTCTGCCATCTTTAAACTAAAAATCAATGCCGGAACTTTTTGAATTACTGGTATACGAGCACAATATTTGGTATTCTAAACCCTGGCTTTTCATGTAAATTCAATACTCTTAATTAAAGCGTCGTCTAAATAACACCGGCTGTGAGAAATCATTTTCCTGCCCAAGGTTTCGTTATACATCATTTCAAATTCTAATACATATGGCTTGTGTTGCAAAAAAATGATTTATCGAATTAATGTTACCTGGGAAAATTATAAGAGAATTAATTAAAGTTCAAATTATCAATAGAATATTCAAATCTAGTCTTCACGTTTTCGTTTCGGTATTATCAAAACAATTATATAGTTAGCCATTTTCCCGGTTATAGGTAATTTAAAATTAAACAAATGATTTGCTGATTGTTGATTTGCTGAATGTTTAGACTAAAGGAAAACTTTTTGAAAATCTTTTCTGTACAGAATGCAAACGAATGATCTACGTAGTTGAAATAAAAGACTAATTGAATCTGCGAAAAGAATTACACCATACGGATACATTAATTTCACGGATGTATTAACCATCTTTAATGCGTTAATTTGACAGTTCAACCGCTCAGTGACAACATAGCAAATAAAACTGAGATAATTTTTTCAATAATTCCAGCCGCTGGTCCGCACGTACGGACAACGACGGCCGGGATGAGGAGCACCGGGATGGCCACGAGCAGCGACAGCGAACCAGCAATGAAGAAGCCGACCCACCAGGCGCCCAGCCACCGTGCGCTCGAGGACGTCAAGCCTAAACTGTCGCAATAATAAAAACTTAACTGTAAACTATTATTACTGATTACTATTAAGAATAATCAAGTCAGTCGGAAGTAATTTTGATTCTTCTGATCTTTGTGCCGGTATATATCAGGGAAAACTTATAAATGTTTGAGAGCAGACAAATCAATGGCGCACACACCACACCTCTAAATAAGTATTGTGTATCTTGATTGTATTATATATTCCGCAGTCTCCTAATGATTTATCCGCTCATTCCCCCGAACCGTATGCTGTAACTGAACAAATAGGGAGCTTGCCAGGCGTCTCACTCAACAGGGTCGACGGCAGGCGCGTCGATGTAGATTTTGATGAGCTGCCCCCCGAGCCCGTACCCCACCGCTGGCCCCACCACCGACATCGCGCTGAATATTCCTGTCATCGTAGCGGACCAAAAAAAATTTAATAAGCTCGTGTTTAGTAAGATATACTAGAAATATAGATGTATTTTCAAATAAAAATGGAATAAATTATCAAACACCTACTCCCAGATGAAATAAAGAGAGAAATTACCTACCATGAGGTTGTAAACGCCAAGCTTATTAAGAAGCTTCATCCAGGGTGGCATGAAAATTTTCGCTACTAATTAATACCTCAAAATTTTGAAACCTTTCATAAGGGTTGTGATAGCAAAAGGGTTAGTATATTATAGTTTACACTTTTCTGACACAAACAAACGAGTAAAATCCAAGTAGACTGAAAGCACACAGAATTGAAGAATGGAAAGTTTGAAATACGGACACCTTACTCTTACATCGAATGTATCCACAGCCAATAACACATATATATACTAAACTAATATACACTTAGTTCACTATGAATATGCAGAATAATCAGAACGGATGGAATAAAAACAATGTGACCATCAAAGAAATCCATTCTCCCAACCCGAACAATTTGCTTCATCTGTAACATCATTTGGCCACCAGCGTTCCCCCACGACACTAACTGCATGCATAAACGTCAAACTTGGAACAACTAAAAATTAAAAACTTGGATCAACGAAAAAAAACGCGAATTTTCTCACCGAGATAATAGGAAGACTGTATGAGAGGCACAGACTCGTCTATGAAGACCATGCCCAGCGTGTAGATGGGCGTCGCTCCGAAGCCGTGCAGCATCTGGCCCGCCACGAACACGTAGAAGAAATCAGAGAGCCACGAGCCGTCTGATGTCGAGCCGCAGTTATCTCTCTTCGAGTCCTGGGAGGAAGGGGGCAATCACTAAGCAATTTACGCCGGTGCGAAGAAAATAAGGAATTCTCTATTTTCGTATCGTCGTTCACTAAGCATTGTGGACCGATGCGTGTGAGGTAAGGAATTCTCAATATTTGTACGGTTTTGCATCACCAGTTCCAGGCATCAGTTTTTTATAGCTATTAATTAAAATAGTGGAAAAATACCTTCACATTCTATTAAAAATTAAGTTATTCAAGTTTTTGATGCATCGCAAGTTTGGCAATGAAATATCGGAGAAACACCCACGATAGACGTTTCAACGACCATGAATAGGCCAAACCAGGCCTATTCTTCAGCGCCGATACTAATATGCTATACCAATATACTTTACTAATATTCTAACGACAGCAACAGTGTCGGTTTAAAAGTGAAATATACAAGAATCGAGCTGGAGGAGTGACAAAATTCTCAAGCCACAGCTAAGGATACTTCATATTTTATTATTTGCCAAATTAGTGCAAGACAATTCACATACGGGTCCAATACAGAGATTCTGAGGTGCTTGTCCATCGGTGCCGCTGTTAATCTTCCCTTCGTACGCGGGGACAGCAAAATGGGGGAGAAGAAATACGAAAGATCCGAGCCCCATGACGATAAGTCCAATCCCCAGCCACCGGGGCTTGGAGGCGCCAGGTCTAGAGCCAAGGTATGATATCGGGATGACCACGAGAAGCGAGGCAATATCGTACGAACTCGCAATGATTCCTGCAAGCAAATAAATTACATGGCGTTGAGTTTTTCCAAGAGTTTCGCTCACACAATTGGACCGGATATATTTGCATTTTTACTCGTTTTCATTTCAAACAACTCAGTAATACGTGCAATTTAATACGAGCAATATCTCAAGAGCCAATAATCTTAGCATAGAGGATAGTAGAGTCGACCGCACATTCGAAATTAAGCTTAATCACTGAACACTCAAATACTTAACAGTGATTTAAGTTCTACTCAATAGACGTGGAATATTGGAATAGAAAGTATTTCTAAACTTGATCTTTTATAGTATGTAGTATAGATTGATTTTACCTGTGCTTCGAGACATCAGGTTGAACCGCTTTTCGATGGTGGTAATGCTCACGTTAATGAAGCCGTTCACAACCATACCTGTACTAGAACATAAAATATTGCTGAGTAGAATGACTTATGAAGAATAGCAGGGCGTACATTTATATTTTCTCAATTGATAGCTACAAATGATCAATATAAAAATCTCGAGAAAAATGTTCTCATTATTTAGGATGTTATTAATTCGAATATTTGGGGAAAACACACCACGATGCTTTGCCATTCGTCCAAACTGAAATCAATTCTTAGTATATTCCTAAGTAATGTTATACTTAAAAAGATCATAACATTATTATTAAAAAGTAAAGGACACAAACTCTACGCAGGATAGGTGATGCGGTCGCAAGCCATTACGGAAGTCGCATCTAAATTTGTATTCTTTCTTTGATTCCATATGCAAATTTTTATTCTCTAACACGATCACAGCGTGATTTCTTGGAGCAACCGCAACATCGAACAAATGCAACGGCGACTCCAGTGTAGATCAAGCACTGCCTCGAGTCGTTAAAAATCGGTTAACAAATTGAAATAACGTAAATTATTCGAGGATTTAAAACACCTAAGGGCAGAAATTATTGTAACAACAGAAGAAATGATAAGAGTTTATGCTAAAACTTTGGCTATTGATTAAAAGCATTTTAGACGCGTTAGCAGGTATATGAATAGAAAATGTGCGATGGTATGAGTCGTGGTAAGACACGCGGGGTTAGCTCATTTCAACACGTACTGCTCAAGCAATGAACAGTTAAGCACCTATTTACTCATTTCTCTCCAATGAAAAAAATTAAATAAACCACTTAATTCGACACTTTCCGCTTTAATGAGCAAACTGAGAGAATAAATGGAATACTTCCTACATACGATCCATTCCTTGAAATTAGCAACTGAAGCTCTTGGTCAAAAAGCACCTATAGGAGCCAACAAAACGAGCATCTCTTGTTCATAACTGACACATGTAATGCTCATATAATACATGTGCGGAGAGAACCAAGAACTACTCGTACGTGGCTGCTGCGACGAGGCTATCAGTTTCAAGGCCTCGAACTAAAGAAGGAAACTTTTTCACGGCAACCAGCAAACCAGCACCGGAAGCGCGCAAGGATGCGTGGTTGATTGTGCAGCCACATTGCAGCATGACATGGATGACCGAAGCTTCTTGCGACTATGGGGGAGGAGGGGGCAAGGATGACAGGGGCAAATATGACCGACGCTTCTTGGGATTATGGGGAGGAGGGGGCAAATACGACCGATGCTGCGTTCATGAGGGAAGGGGGCGGGCAAGGATGGCTGACGCCTCATGCGACCATGAGGCTATATAGGCGGAAGTTAAATCCTTATTCAATGATTCAATGGAAATTGTGAATGACTATCAGAATAATCAGAGCGTTGTTTCCCATTACATTCTAAGCAAGTACCTGTAAATCTCCTTACCTTAAATATTGCAACTTATCTGAGGATTAGTTGAGGCATAAAGCTTACGAAATTCCCGTTACATAGCATTTCTTATCTAGAAGCGTGAAATCATGTTGTTTTCGTTCCATTTCTCCTACAAACATGATGAATGCTTGCGTGTCTTACACACATGCAGTACACAGCGCAAGCCGCCAGTTGATATTTTCCAGAGATTACAAAACTACTCGCGAATATTTGTCAAACACGTCGTTCACTACAATACACATAAGAGAACAAGCTTTCTTGAGAACTCATGACAGTAGGAAATAAGAACAGCAACTTTCCAGTAAAAATCGCTCCAAGCGCCAAACAAAAAAACGAATACAAATTTTTTTTGAGACACGACGGGCTCGTACAATGCGTATATAATATTATTATTAACTTTTTGCCTTACGAAAGAGAAGCAGTGTTGTCAGTTCAATATGATAACCGCAGCTTGGAAGTGTAAAATCAACAAATGGAAAAAATAGCAGCGCTCAAGTCCAAAAATAGGGGCGTGTTTATATAAATATATCTACAAATAATGTGGAAACTGAAATTATTCAAGTGTCTAATTATTTTAATTATTTTATAGTACGAATCATGAATGAACCAAAAATTAACAAAGGCAGTCCAATTTTATCTTAAAATAATTCAGCCCTAAGTTGATTCAAATTGCAAAACAATTATATAGCAAATTTTTAATTCGCTTGGCCTTTCATTCACTTCTGAATTCTTAATTCAAGGACCATTTTAAAACTATTCTTATTGATTAGGCTCGTTTCTATTTTGGCCAATTATATAGGACCATGTTGAAAGCAGCCAGAACAATTACGTGAAGGTGTTTACTAAACAAATTGACATTCTCATCTATATCGTAAATAGAGAAGAGCTACAGAGTTTGTTCTACAACGGAAATAGATAAACAAACAGTCCGTGCACCAAATTATTAACATGCGAATGAACATTATTTCCATGCAGTAAAATTGTGGATTAGATGGCAGAAATTCGAATATCGATAGAAAGCACAATAAGACCTTGTATATAATTTCATTAATTGAACTTACAGGATATCAGATGTTCAGTCAACGAGTAATAATCACAAGGGGAAAACCAGACCAAGAAAGTTAGAGACGGGCCGGAAATACGATAAAGATAGATCCTGAACTGCTTAACGAATGCTTTCATAAGAGAAAATTGTCGGCGAGACTAGGTAGTAGTAGCCAGGTTTAGCATGATTGGCACAAATACACAATACCAAGCGGGGCGCCTAATGACAGCTGCCTTCGACAGCGATGCCAATGCGCACATCTTGTTTATATACAATAAGATTCGCACAAAATTATGTCTCTGGTATTTGAGAGTGCTTTCAAGGCTGTGCACCAGCGTGACCGCGAACTGAGCCGTTTAAAACTTATATAATTAAAAAACTGACCCTGTACGGCTGCAGCCCAGCACATCCAGAAGAGGAGCCACTTGGCAGTCCTGGAATGCTGGACGCAGCGCCCGCTGAAGCAGAAGTGCCAGCCACAACCGTCGCCAGGGGCGGGCTGCTCGTCGTCCCCAACACTCAGGTCCTGGGGCTGCCGCGCCCGCTTGGGCACCACCGGGGAGCCCAGGGGAATCTGTGCAGTCACCCCCACACGTCAGTGAATAAACACGTGTGCTTTATAGACATAAAGTAACTATAAACTTAACTAGTAAAATAGCGGTTTTTAATGAACAGCACCAAGTAACGTCGAAAAAAAAATTGTTGTTACAAAATATGTAGGTATAGATTGAAAATGTAAACAGTGTTAAGCTGCAAAAAAGGATTTAATAAACAAGAAGGAAAAGAATGTTGTGACACATTCCACATTGAGTCAAGATTAGCTGCAGGTAAATTAGTTTTTAGCTGATTTTTTAGTAAAAATACAATACAAAATTTGGAGAATTTTACTTGAATAAATGCTATAGAGATTCGTTATTTTAAAAACTGACCTCAGTCAATGCCTCCTGCGCAGCAGCATAATGATGGACGTTCTTTGTGGCCTGATTTCCCGAGATCGCCGACATGATGCACAATAAAAACTCACTTCTGTACTTCTGAAATGGCGCTTTTCACGAATCTTCACAACTCGCGAGAAACGCTTACACTCATTTAATGTTATCTCTCATTCATTATCATTATAACGAGGGTATAAGGCGTCCCAAACCTGTAAAGTCCAAAAGAAAATATTTGACTTGTCGACAGGCGAGGTTATGAGTTGTAAAATTAATATATTTGAGAAAAACTCCATTAACACCATGGGTTTTCTTCTTCATTGGTTTTCATTATAAATAATATTTCGTGTAATTGTGCACCGACTGGACACGCTGCGGTGACTTCAGTAAACCAAGCCGCAAAAAACATTCACGTGCCTTTCTCAACGAGATGTGAGAATTGCAGAGTAAAATTAAGAAGCTTGGCGAACTTTCTAAGTAATTGATTTCTATCAAGCTTGGATCATCCTTTTCGTTAATCGCTTCAACAATTCAAGTTGTAAGTTTGACTTCATAGGAGATATAATTTTAATAATTAAATTTTGCATTTAATAAAACAGTCTAGGAGTACATCGCTCTACCTTCCAAGTCTCTACCTTCATTTAAAATTTTTAAGAAGAGCCGTTGGAAGAGCCGTTATATAAAAGGGGATATATATGTAGGGAGACACATAATGCTATGGAATATAAGACAAGGGATATTCGAAGGTCATGCATTGGGTTATACGATTTCTCGCGCTATGAGGAGCTGCAGCAGAGACAGGTCAAATTTATTTATGAATTATTTGCATAAATACTTTGCTGCAGTTATTTAAAGTGACGGAAATTCAGTATAATACATAAATAGTAGTTTAATTCACACGTGAAGAAATATTTTCATTATCCGTATACTATATATTATTCCAGAAATAATTAAAATCCAACACGGAAGCAATAGTTATTAAGTAGGGATATAACCTATATAAGGAATACCCTCACTAACATTTTTTTATCAAGCCGTAACCATCACCGCTCTATTCTAAGAAAGGCTAATTTAATACAAGCAGTCTGAACGCATTAAAACGTCATACTCACGTTTTACGCACGTCAATCAACCTCTTTCCCTTCGGTAAAAACATGAAGCTACACATGATTTTCCTCCGCGTACCGTAGTCAGTATTAAAAAATTCGAGTCAGAGGTAAAATGCTGATCAATGTAGCCCAGAATTTCCGCGGTCACGCTAAGCACGAGCAATTCAAGATAGCTTCGTGACTTATGCAATTTTGAAAACTCGTTCAAATTAGATAAATGTTTACAAATTTTTCACCTGATTTCCGTTGTCGTGTTTGGCTCGGTTTCTTTGTGAAACGCATATGGTAGACGTTTCAAACAATATAATTAAGCTAAATAAAATTATTCTTGCTTTGATACTGACTACAGAGGTTTGATTACTGTAATGATAAGTAAATAAAAAAAATATACTAATTGCCTCCTTAATGAATTAATAACAATCGATCCGGAATCAGATAGGTACCTTAAAATATGAAAATGTATTCAAAGCACGAACCACGGATCTACCCTAATTAACGTAAAAATTTTAGACATGAACAGAAACTTAACCAAACACTCCAATCTCAACTTAGCTACAGTAGCTCCTCGTTAGACTCAGCTAGAGGTTCCCTAATACAGTCAGATTTCAGTTCCCAGACGCTGCCGTATAGGTTATAGGTATAGGGTAGACAAGGGCATCAATTAGGTTACCTATATCAACTACATTCCAACATTGTTCACATTAAATGTGTGATCCCTCTTGAGGTTTAGAAAGATCAATATAATACATTGAAGACGTTCCGCACTTAACAGCACTGATGCCAAGATGCCCATCTTGGTGAGCATGTACATAATCACTTAGATCAGTGGTTCCCAAAGTGGGCGATATCGCCTCCCTGGGGGCGGTGGAAAGATTTTGGGGGGCGGTAAGGAATCAGAGGGCGGTAGAGGGGCGATAGGAAGGCGGTAGTCCGAAGTCGAAGTCAGAAGTTCGAACGTTTGTTTGACGATTTGTACACAACACGTGCAGCACATGACTCCCAGTGATGTTTTTTTGGCCCAAATCTGCTTTTTAACCTCTCATGGGTTTACCTCTCGGACAAATTAACGGCCGGACTCGCGGCCGGACTCGCGGCCGGTCTCACGGCCAATTTCCAAATTCAACGATCAAGGAATATCTCTCTAACTAATGAACTTAACTCGATGAAACCTGGTACACGTATTCATTAGGACATAACGGTAATGTTTAGCTCGCGTAAATTTTTTCGACGTTTGCCTTCATTTGTGAGTTATATGGCAATACGGGCCGAAATTCACAGTGATCAAGGAATTTCTTCCAAACTACTGAACAGATGCGAACGAAATTTTAAATTTACAGTCCTAACTACCTAATGGTTGTTAGGACTGTAATTAGCTAGTTAGTTAGTTAGCTAAACATACCTAACGGTAATGTTTAGCTCGTGATTTTTTTTTTATTTTTGCCCTGGTTCGCGAGTTTTTTTTTTTTTTCATTTCTCCTTTCGTGATATAAACAGCAATACGTGCTTAAATTCGCAGTAATCAAGAAATTTCTTCCAAACTACTGAACATATTTGAACGAAACTTAGTATTTGGATACCTAACCTCATCAACGGTGATGTTTAGCTCGCTACAATTTTGTCGATTTTGCCTTTGTTTGCGATTTATGCGGCTATACGTAAACGGCTCTTGGTTAAACCGGCCGGTAGAAAAGCCGGCCGTTTCTCCTATATCTGTATAACTCAATAACGAAAACGAAATATAAAAATTGTCACGAGCTAAAAATCACCGTTGGAAGGAGGTTAGGTATTTATATACAAAGTTTTGTTGAAATCTATTCAGTAGTTTAGAAGAAATTTCTTGATCGCCGTGAATTTAAGCGACAAATTACCTTGCGATACGGGCCGAATAGAAGGTGTGAAATCAAGAATGACGGTGAAATGAAAAAAAAAACTCGCAAACGAAGGCAAAATTGAAAAAATTTTTACAAGTTGAACAGAAAACAAAATCACCGTTTGGTAGTTAGGAGTGTATATTCAAAATTTCGTTCAAATCTATATTTGTGAAATACACATTTGTGTTTAACCTTTCTCTTTTAAAATTGCAGCGTATTAAATTTCAAGAAATACCTAGGCGCATGTCTGTGGGGGGCGCTAGAAGTTCACTAGGGAGCCAAAGAGGGCGCCAGCCTGAAAAAGTTTGGGAACTACTGACTTAGATTAAAGTTTATAAATAACGTTATAGTTTTATTACTTTAAATTTTAAAAGTTAAAACATTAAAAAAATAAACTGCGCCGTTAGAAGCTTTAATAATAATTACTTCCCTACACTAAGTATGGCCACTGTAATTAAATTTTCATAAATTTTAAAACTTTTAAAATCTTGTCGGTCTCAACCTGATTACGAGAATGAGTTGTTTGGTCGGGAATAATTTTCGTAAATTCGAACGGCTTTTGCTATCGCTTGAATGGAGAACGTAGCTGAATTAAACTACATTACAGGTTGTCCCATGGGTTCAATTACTGAATAAATTCCAAAGTTGGAAATATTATACAACGTTCTCACAGTTATTAATTAAATAGGCTCCAATAAACACGGAGCAAATTATGTACCTGCGATGCTTGTGCTTCTAACGGCCATTTGAGCCTTTGAGGTAACATTTTGATAAATCGACAATCATTTTGGAACCGGTCTACATAAACTGCACCTAATACCTAGCTTGTGAACGAATTATACGAATAATGACGGTAATACGATTTTTACGATGACGGAAATATGATTTATTAACGGGAACCTTCTATTTCCTTCTATCATTAGTAGCTGACAACGCATGCAGAACGTAGCAACATTTTTGATCGTACGTAGCGCCGGTAGCGGTACATGCTTCTCGCCACTTCGAGATGATAGTTTCACACTCCCAGAAGCACCGCGAAAGCCAAAAATTTTACGAAGCTGCACAAGCAGCCAAACCAGCATGGATGAGAACGTCAAAAATGTTTCCGCTTTCTCTCGGGAGAAATAACCGAGAACGTCGAGCACGTTTATCAGAATGTAGGTCTACACATAGAGAAATCAAGCCGGTTTCTGTGGAATAGCGGGCAGCGATTGTGTTTTACAACTGTATTGGCTTCACGTTACTTCTCTTTTGCTGACTAAACGCGAGCCAAATGTTGCTCAACATTAGTTAGGTTACATTCAATGTCCTGAACAATAAGATATCGTAGAATTTTATTAATTAAAGCCGTACTATAATATTTATTCGGTTGAAATCTATCAGTCTTCCACAGAATCAGTAATACGAATAAATTTAATGATTTGCTGACTGGTGCAGAGATTGTCCCCTAACAAAAATTGTTTCGACGCAATAAAAGCTTATTTAACTCAGTTAAGTAGCTGCACAAGTTGATAACTTGATAAGGTAGAATTCAACACACAAAAACACACTCATTATCGGAGCAATCGAGTTTAGTCTATGTGGCTTAGAGGACTCAAAATGAACTGCGTTTTTTCTGTGTTTAACCCACTCACTACAAAGGCCAGTCCATTTTTATATCCAGTAATTGTCATATCCAGATAAGGATAAACAACCTGTGGACTCGACACGAGCACGGCGCATCTATACTATAATAATTACTACACCATGACCAATGTGCTGTCATCATGATCACGGATGAAGATAGCGACTGAAGGTGAAGCAACATTTGTCGAACTAGTCGAAGCCCAGGATTTACTGACCTTTCATTACATCAACTCTCGAATAGTGGGACTAAGTCTTCGTAAATCTCAATAATTAAAAAGTGAATAGCAACGGTTAACACTTTTCCATGGAACGGTTATTGTGCGCGTAGTTGCAAACGCCATCACCTACTCCTTACACAGCGACTAGACCACTGGTGATGAAACCAAGTTTAACCAACGGCACAGTTCGGCTTCCAGCATGTCAGCTGCGGCCACGGCTCACACCTGTCAAGGAACCTGCAGCGGATTACCATTGCAGGGCTGGCGGACGTTTAAATCACTTGCTTTTTCACGCAGTATCTTCCTCACACATGTATCTTTCACAGTATCTTCCTCATGTATAAATTATGACATTGAGAAACATTGTATGACATTAGTTGGAGAAAAATCATTCTTTTCTCAAATCCCACGAAATTTTGCGTCGTTGGCTGTTGTGCATGCCAAAATTTTTTCATCTAAAAAGTCATTTTTTGATTGAAAGGTCGAGAAAGGCATTTTTTAGCAGTTTCAACGTTAAGAAAAAAAAACAGGACACGGTTTTCAATAGGAAGCTCAAATCTATCAAATAAAGTTGAGCAGACATCCAACATCATTTTTTTTTACAAACTTCACTTCTTGTTGTTTATTTGTCTGCCACAAATCAAATAATCAATATTTAACACAATTCTACCTCTCCAATCGATCAGAAATTTTGCACACCTGCGTAAAGTTGGAGACAATACAGGAATCAATTGACAGAATAAATAATTTTAAAAATTTTAAAAATTTTAATATTAAATAAATTGAAAAAATAATTTTCTCAGCTTATACCTGTCCAATCGATCTGAAATTGTGCACACTTACGTAATTTAGAGACAATTCATGAATCAATTGACAGCATAAATAAATTTGAAAATAAAATGTTATATTGAATAAAAATTTTTAGATAAACATCTGGAAATAAAATTAGAAATTCATTATACATATGTAACATCGGAGACACAGGATTCTTTAAAAGTGTTGTCTTTAAAAAGTAATTTTTAAACGCATATTATTCTAGCTAATTACGTGTGCGTGAACCCAAATATAATACGTTGAAAGTTATTGAGTATGACGGGATTCATAAACGATGACAAAAATTTTACAAAAATTCTAAATTGCACTATCACTATAAAAATAATTTTTCAATAACAATTCTCGAAAATTTTATCAGTCACGGCGTCTTGCCTCCCAATATTCGGCATTGTCATTCTATTTTAGACAAGATATGAATGCTGCTTGCACGCATAGCTTTTAAGTCCATCTTTTTTATCGGTGTGACGACGACGCTATTTTGACTATAATCATTTAAAATAAGGATGGTATTTTCTTCAATAATTTAAGCCTGAAGAAAAGTTGGTCGAAATTCAAATAAAGCTCGCAGTCGATAATTGTCTGTCGTTTTCTGATAACATTATATATAAATCTATAACCAATTCACGTATCATTATTTTGTACGTTTACTTCGACTAGATTGTGCTCCAGTTCCACGAGGTTTTGTACCTGTCATTTTAAATTGAAAGTAATTGAACCATTATTATACAGAGGCTTTAAAATCGCTTACATATTTTGAGCAAGTCACACTGAATTAGAATATTTACCTTTTAATTTCTCGTCAGAGAGGGCTTTTGTCCTGTCTGTTTTTACTTAAATTGAGATTTACAGCTCGAAGAAAAATTCTGAAATTATTCCTGACAGAAAGGGGTAGCAGTAAAATTATTTAAAGTTCCCTATCATCTTTTAACCATGCCTATATAATGGAGAACCAAACGTTTTATTGCTGAATGAATGAATGTCCTAATTTGTGAATGAATGATCCCAACGTCAACCTCCGTGCTTCAACCTTCTAAAAATTTGTCAAAGGTTGTGTTCATAAATGAGACAATGCACTAAAAAGACATTGAGAGATGAAAAGGGGCTATGTGCAAAATTTGCTCTATGTTAGGTTTTTGAAGTTACTATAGGGGGTTGGATGTGTGCCTGCTGCTGGCGCTTCAAATATACAGCGGCTGATGGAGCCATATCCACTATCCCGGTAACTTATCGTGTTGGCATACTACGTGGACCTGAAAATTTAATAGTAGTTTGAGTATCGTAAGCAATGAAAATTTGGGAAGGAAGGATTTTACTAAAGTTGATATCGGATTTTTAAGTTCAAATTGTCATCATTTAAAGTTGATATCGGATTCTGGTTGACAGCATTCTAAAATTCCAGGAATTATCCAGCCCGGGCAACGCCGAGCTAATCAGCTAGTAATAAATAAAATTAAGATTGTTTCCTTCATCTGGTATGAAAAGACACATTTCTGAACTAAAATAGCTGAGCCTCCTGGCAGATGTCATCGCTCTTGCGTACCTATTGTATATATGCTTGCTCACATATTGCGTTACACTTTATCGTCATGTATTGTGACATGCCTATATGTGACCGATTTAGAGATTTTAAAGTTCAAGCTCCTGCTTTTGGCTTAAGAATTAAACAGAGCCTGTTAACTTTAGACAAAAATCAGGGTCTTGTTTCGAGCTTCTGTTTACATATTGAACATTTTTCAGATTTTAACACAAACTTCTTATTTTATGCCCTAACTTTCAAAACTAGCAAACGCCACTTCGAAAAACTTGTTAAAAAATTATGGTTATACAATTTTTTTTCATCCGTACTATTAAAAGTATGCAGTGAAATAAATATTTATTTTTTCCTTAAAGAGAGGAAAATTTCACCTATTTCAGAAGCATCAAGTAACTCTCAACTCGAAAACATGCGATAATCTTTCAAAGTCCAATGAGATTAATTTTTGCAAGTATGGAGTCGAAACATGAAATTTAACACCAAAAATGAAAATCAACAGTAAAATCAATGCTTCTCAGTAAAATCCGCAGTATTCCAATAAAATATTCAGTGGAACGTTTTTATTTAAAATTTGATGAATTATTGGAATTTGTTTGGCATTGAATTTTAATTACATGAACAAATAGACCACTAATCCAACATGATATCAGGGAATGCAATTACGGATATGAGTATTTTATGTTCAATATTAGAATCGATGCTTAATAATCTGTTCTTCGCAGACCAGAAGTAAATATACTGTTTACCGTTTCACTTGACAAAAAAATGTTAATAATTTGAGGCTGCTATATAACGTTTAATAATAATGTGAGCATGTGCATTTGATTATACATACATCTTATGGGTTTCGGAATAGCCTTAAGATGTACGCTAGCCACAAGGGAAAATTTTACGTTTCACTGACTCGATAAAACACTAGTTGAAGTAGATAAAAAATTCGTGATGAGGATCGCCAACGACCAATATGAATGAGAGTGATTTCATATTGAATTAATTATGCACCTGTTTAATGTCACAAGCTGGCACTGTAGTCTAGACTAAGTGGCGGCAGCTAGCGATCCGACCACAAAATTAACAATGTGAAATTGTTTAGCTGTAGATATTATGATAACCATATTTGGAAATAACTTGATGGAGCTAGAATTATTAGCACATTTTCTCATTTATGGAAAAAATGCACTATTGTGCTCGCCATGTCCGTCCGTCCGTCCGTCCATCCGTCCGTCCGTCTGTCCGTCAGTGACTTCGCGTTTTCGTCGACGAGAAAATGCACTCTCTGTCAATCACTGCAGTGAGTACTGAGTTATACTTTTTTTCTGTTGGCTGGAATACGCTTGTATTATGAGGACGACAATTATGTATTTTTTCATAACTGCTATAAATGGCAAAATAAGGCCAATTTTTATTAGCGTAAAAGACAATCACGCCAGATAAGATAAATGATCATTTCTTTGGCAAAAGTCAAGTCACAGTTCAAATACAAGCGTAAATATTAAAGCTTAGACTTATACAAAACAAATGATGGGCAAGATCCAGGATCAAACTTTCTTCCAAACAACAAACAAATTCCTACCCAACAAATTGAGCGGTGTAATTGAACGTTTCCTTGCCTCAGAGTTTACTAAAGTAGATGAAGATGTGTTACCGAAGTAATGAACTCGATGCCTGCGAATCACAAGACCCTAAAACTTTAACTCATAACCTAATAGATATACGTAAAAGTGAAGTATTTGATCATCTACTGGTAAACAAAGCACAACTTAATTTGAGTGTACAACTTTTTATGCACTCGATATACAAACCGAAATAAGTGTAGAACTTGGTAGAGCACTTCCGATGAAATTAGGGTAGATGTTGTAGAGCACTTGATAACAAAGGAGAAATGATGACAGAACTTGTAGGGTATTTGGTGCAAAGGGAGAACGTAGAACTTAATAAAGTACTACTTACAAAGGAAGAAATTATCGTATATTTGAATGGAACATGTAGACTAAAGAAGAAATGACGGCAGAACTTAGAAGATAATTAAGTACATAGGAATAAATTAGGCTTTAACTAGTACGTAGAGCACTTTGTAACAAAGGAGAAATGAGGGTAGCCCATTTAGAGCTCTCTGTAAAAAAAGAGAAATGAGGGTGCAACTTGCACAGCACTTAGTACGAAAGGGTAATTGTGAGTGGGACTTGAGCTGTAAGTATGAAGCACTTGTACGTTTTAGCTCCTGACGTCTCGAACTGCCAAGGACACGTTCAATAACTAATAAGCATCTTGACAATTAGACGGGCTTTCATTTCAAGAAAAATTTTTAGGAATTGCAATTTCATACACGCTAATATAACTCACAATTTAAGCTAGGCTACTATTTCTCTTACTGGAAATAAATTTCGTCGAAAAAATCAATTTGGAAAATCATTAAAAGGCACGTACACTTGTGTGATTTTCATTTTCTTTCAGATTATTCATTTTTTGTGTCTTTTTATTTCAAGTGTTAGCTGAAGGTATTGGTAAAATAAACAAATCAGTGAAATAAATCAAAAAATTTCATTGCATAGTCAATATTCTCAAACTATAACCGAATCTTTACACGAAATGTGAATCAGGTGGCAATCTTTGACGTGAATTCGTCTTACGTGGAAATGCCATGAAATGTGATGTAGTGAAAATTATTATCTACTGACATGAGAGTCGAGTAAAGCTTTCTGGGCTTTTCTAGGGTAAATTGTTGAAGATATTGAGTGCTCACAGCCAGTCTTCACTCTAGGGCACCAATGCCTTAATGTAGCCTGAATATATTTTAGCCAACGCTCTTAATGTGGAGTAGATAATAGAGTACTCGGCTGTAGCTCTACTGGCTACTGCGGAATTAGTGTGCACTCATAGAACTGGATGCAACCTTGTCCAAAAAGCGATTCACTTCTTGCCCTGATGTGGGCCATTCAGATTAAATTTTAGCCGGCAAAAGGGCGTATAAGCGTTACGTGCAGAGAGTGCGTCAGTATGACGACAAGATGATCCATTCATTTTTCCGGGTGTGCTTTGTTCAGTATTTTGAAAGGATAAAGGTAATCCCTTTGTTGCAATAATGATGACTGATGGCTTTCTTTGCTGAATTTTATGATGACAGTGAAATTCTCGGGAAAATGCGACTCTTCAAATTATCATAAGTGGCTGGACATTCTGGAAATGGTCTAAGAAATAATTTAGTCTATTCGACAAGTCCACTTGCTGTCGAATTGGAAGAAAAAGTGCAGCTTCGTGAAAATTGGACCACTCTGCTGCAGGCTGTCGTGCAGTGCGGTTAAATCTGTTACTTGTTGTGAACAATCATATAGAACATTTCAGCCCCTAAATAAGATTGCAATTTTTAGACTGTGTGAATTCAGATATTTATACTAACCTTGACTTCAACTATCGGTCGTTTTCTTTGGAGTGTCGAAGATGTTTTGTAGCTCCCAACCTTTTACATAAAACTCCTTCAATAGCCTATTAGTTAATATTTCTCTCTCTCTCTCTCCCCCCAAGAACAAATCCTTATGAATAAAATTATAGATTCAACGATTTTTGGTTTGACATACGTCTTTATATTATTATTGAAATTTCAGGACTTTCCAGCGAAGTCTCACTACTCACTAAAATTACTTTGTTAATAATATTTTCAACTAAAAAAAGTACGATGACCTATTTCACAGTCATGAATTTAATGCAGTTATTCGAACTCTCGAATTTAATGACGTATATCTAGCGCTCGCGAATTTGTCGGAATATTTTGCCCTCCTGAGTCATACGATAATATTTTGCTAATATGACTATTTCGTACCAATAAGTTAAATAATATTTTCGCCCTCCTGAATTACTGTTTTGCACTTTCGAATTTTCAGGCCTATTTCGCTCTCATGATTAATATTATTTCATTTTGCGCTAATGAATTTGAACACGGATAACATAATCATTTTTACTCAAGAGTGAAAGAAGCGAGCTCGTAAAGGTAATAATTTTCAACGAAAGAGAACCGACATCCCCAAAAAACATTCAACCGAAAATGATTTCCAAATTTCTTTATTTTTCACTCACGGTTGCAGCGACTGTGCTGCTTATTGATGTCAACGGGATAGTTGTGCAGAAAAGGTTCATGAAGGTTAGTACGTTCATCATATTAGTGCTTGTATGGCCCTAATCTATTCGGTTGTGACTAAAATTGGCTTCACTTCTTATAACTTTAAAAAAAATAACGTCTGATCTCACAGTCTGCCGACTCTTCAATGAAGTCTATCTCTGATTTCTGATCAATAATGTTTTAGCTGAATTCGTTTAGTCGATTAGCCTCCTTAATTAGTTTCTTGTTTGCTGGTTGCATGGAGATCACAATAACTTGGTTTTATTTACTTGTTGGGGACGTTTTTCTGAGATCAATTGTGAGTTCGAAAACAGAGTTTAATGGAATTAAATTTATTGTGTTGCCTAGCAAAAAGATTGCATAAATCGTAAGGCAAATGCATCCTAAAAATCCCTTATTTAAAATTTCGAACATCGTTCCACACGAGGTTTCATGTAGCGTGTAACTTGTGCCCGAGGCGATTAATGCTAAATAATTCGAAAAAATACATAAATTGTTCGATCTCGAGAACCATAGCAGCATGACACAATTCAGTTTCGAATGAATGCAACATGCAAAAATGTAGGTAAAATCCAATTCTGAATGAGGTTAATTCTTTCACAATAAAAATATTTCGGTACCCGAATACTAAGTATTTAAAAAGTCACTCCACCAATTATGATTTCTAATTTTAAGACGTAATTTTTGGCACATTTAATATATTTAAATTTTACACTATACATTTGAAATACGAATAAATTTACTAAATTATAAAGTAATAACTTGATAATATATTTACGAATTGAATCGGCATAGAAAGTTATGTATCCAGTTGATAACACGTGTGCTCAAAAATTTTCTTCCAAATAATATTTATTTCAAATATTTCAGGTGGCGATGAAGACGATATTCAGGGTATGCCAGTTATCAGCGAATAACCTCCTGCAAGAGACGGTTACTCTCACGCTCCAGCAGTGTGCCAGACGATGCCTACTTGACACAAAATGCGTCACGTACTGCTTCAACTACGGTATATGCAACATTATCCTATTAATTACATTATTTTTACTGTGTAATGCATAATAACTTTGCCTGACCCGATATTACCGAGTATTACAAGTATATTTTTATTTTTGTCCACAGACAAATCCCTGTGCGCCACAACGACGGTTTTCCCATCCCACTGGTTCCCTGGCATACCACCACAAGCCAACATCACAGCGACCTACGACGTGTGCTACTCATCATGGACATCACCAGATAGCATCATCAGGAATACGATGGTCACTACATCAAGTCCTGCGACGGCTAATTACCGAACTAGTGAATTATTCGTAGACGGTTATTTCTGTCACACTGACGGATACGAAGCCCGGCGATCCGACGGAAAGACTGGTTTCAGGAACTACCTTCAAGTTGACTTAGGGAAAAATTTTCTAGTCGCGGAGATTCGAGTTGCTCATCATTTAACTCCGTATTACTTTGAATCCGTAACCGTGCGTCTTGGACTTTCATCTACAGAAACAGATAATGCGATAATAGCGCAGCTGCCAACCGAAGTTCCCCCTCTCGGGTATGTGAAGATACTCTTGAACCCACCAGTCTGGGGCCGATACCTTCACTTCCAGTCAGGAGGAACGAACTATTTTGCATTAGGTGAACTGCAGGTCATACCAGCAGTTTGAGAGAAAAAGAAGTTGGGATGCAATTGCTGCAGTATAATTCATCGAGAAAAACTTGCTTTGGTTAAACTTCAAGTCTCGACAAATGTTTGTTCCGAGAAGAAACTACTTTCTGTTTGGTACAAATCGATTACGCTTTGTGGCCAGACCAAGGTTGGACCGATGTTCAACAAGCTTGACCTTAATTAGTCAATCAAATTAAGAAAGACACCTTCACTGCATGTACGTAACCAACTTGCAACTTACCATTACAAGTTCGCAGCTACAGGAATGTTCCATTAACCATTCACCACAAGCTTGCAACACAAGGAATGTTAAAGAAACCATCCACGACAAGTGCGGATCAATGAATGTCCAAGTAACCATCCACCACAAGTGTGCGACACCAGGAATGTTCAAATAACCATCCACCACAAGTGTGCAGCACCAGGAATGTTCATGTAACCATCCACCACAAGTGTGCGGCACTAGGAATGTTCAAATAATCACCTATTACTTGTACTATGTAAATTAGAGTAAAAATCTGGGTTATATATGATACGTTTGCTTTTTAAATCTAATTATTAGTCTAATTCATCAATATCACAGCGAGCATATGTATCTCTTAACATATATAAAATATAATTAAATTCGTATCCTCCTCAATACATATCGAGAGCACCAATCTCATAGATAACAATTACTCATCAATAATGTCTCTCAAACATCGTAAGCATGCCAACAATGAAACATTTTCTCGTGAACCAGGGACTAGCATTTACTCTTAGCTAAGATAGTTCAACCGAATTCTTATAGCAGGTACAGAACTGTTTGCTGAAGAATGTTCAGAGTCCACGAAACTGGCTTCTGTATTGCGCAACATCGCGCAGTTTGAACGCCCGTTTGCTGTGGAAAATTCAGAGTTGTGTTCCTTTCAGCTGTTTGTATTTCCGTCGTTTGTTCTTGCATTGTTTGTTCTTGCATTGTTTGTTCGTGCATCATTTATTCTTGCGCTCGATTCCAACCGTCCTCCGTAGGTGCGCCAGGCGAGGAACAGACTCGACGTAGTCATGATCTTCACGATGAAAGTCAGGCCGAATAAGTACCTGTGATAAAAGGACTCAAGTTCTCATGGAATTGCAGAAGTAAATGTATACTATAATACAGGTATAATAACGCCAGGTTTGATTAACACATCTTGGCAGGTCGTCGATTCTTAACCACCCAGTAACCTTGCCGATTTCGACCAGAAATTTCAGATTAGTTGCGCGTTTCGAACCGCAACTTTCTGCGACAATCTGTGTGACCTTGACCTCTAGGCTACTTCGAGATCATCATGTAGTAGTGAAGTCTATATGCACAAATGCAGGGGTTGGTCAAAATAGGGGAAATACCTCACATTTTGATATCGTAATTTTTGATGTTATTAATATATGTTACTAACAATGAAAACGTAACATATTTTTATGTTTTATTGTTGCTGCTAATTGATATTATATCTTTGCACAGATATAATTAGTAAATTTTTGTGTCAATAAGTTAACCTATGTAACCTAAATACTTGGCAAACCTCTCTGACCTTCAAAAAAAGACAAATTTTTGGTGCCCGTTTGGTAGGTGCTAGTGTGACAGAAACTATCCGAATGCTTGACGTTTCTAAAGGTACTGTTTCAAAAATAATTACTCTTTTGAAAGAGAAGGAAAAACGTCCTCAGCACAGCACAGGTCTGGCCGAAAGTCGAGGTTGTCTAAGAGAGACCGTCGGTACATAAATCGAATTTTGGGTGTCAATCAAAAGACCTGAATATAATCGAGCATTCATGGTCGATTTTAGAGATGCAAGTCGGAAGTCGATTCCCGCGCCATCTTTGTCTTAAAAAGAGCTAGAGCGAGTTTTAGCTGAGGAATCGGCTAAAATTCCTTTGGAAACAATTCACACTTTCTATAAATCAATGCCTCGGATTATTGAGGCTGTAATTGCAGCAAAAGGTGGACCTACACCAGACTAAAATATATTTATGGATTTCTCAGGCGTTTCCCTTATTTTGTCTAACTCCTGTATATCATATATGTAATGCATTAATGTAACAGTTTGATGAAATGCTTTCTTATTTATCCTCCGCTATCTGCAAACAGGAGTCGTCCATCTAAGAGTGGCAAGTGCAATAAAAATAAACCAATTCTAATCATAAATTCCTATGCAACGCATGGACTGATCAAGATTAAATTAATTAAATAATAATCAAAGATGATAGTGCAGAAACGAATGAATTAATGCGCGCTACGTTACCCAAATAGGCGGTATGAGAGAATTTTTTTCACTGAACATTAATTATACCCAAGCACGAAGCTCCAAACCGACAAGCATTGCACGAAACAACACTCGCACTCTGATCGCTTACACGTCATGTCGCCATCGTCCGCATATACTCGTGGCGTGATTATAGGTCCTAAATTGGTCTAAAATATCACATTTCGTCCATTGCATATTGTGCCTCAACTAAGCTTAACTTTAGGCAAGCATGTGCCGACTACGTACGTAGCCGTGCTCGAAAAAACATCGTCTTTAAATTGTTCCGAAATATTTGATTGAAGCACGCAATATTTTTTTCTATTAGGAGTTTAAAAGCAAAGAAAACGCCAAGAAAATTCACCATTTCGACATTGAAAATTCCTTGTGAACTTGCGATGTAAGCAGACTGATAATATTAGTATTTTTTCAATTATTTTAAATGTATAGTATTTTATACAACTTGTATAGATAAATATTGTGGGTTCTCACTGCATAACTAATTCGGTCTAAATAGCAACACAGGAAGAATAGTCTGCATACACACACTACTAGCTTACATTTTCAATAAATACAATCATATTTCCACAGTCAATATGTATATCTAAATTGATTTTAAGTCTCTGGAATGTCATGTTCAATAGCCGTTTCAATTCACCTGCCGAGGGCCAAGTTGTCGTACGCCACGCAGGCCCCGGCAGCGCCGCACGTCCGCCTGCGCAGCTCACACGCTTGGTCATTATTATCGCGATTGAAGGCGTGAAATTTAGAATTTTCACTTATTACGAGTTGTGCGGAGTAACGAAAATGATACCCGAGACTTTCCAAAGGTGTATGAATTTGTATTAAATTTTGATTAATTTGGCTACTCGTATAAGTAGTTCAAAATTATCATCTAGGGTAAAATTATGTCATACTTCAGGATCATTTCACTGTTGGATCCCAATTAGTCAAGCGAATTTTAATATAAATTGTAGGTCAACAGCTTAATATATATTGTCTCTTGTTATATTTAATTTCAACGGCACCAGGAATGAAATTAGGAAGCATTTCTAATGTTGATGATCATTTACAAACCAGTTGAAACCACATTGAACCAAATATACGTGTTTTATTTGATCTCAAAAACTTTGTATTATCTTGCATTAAATTTGATGTTAGCAATTTGATATTAATTAACGGTTCTATTGGATTTACATTATTAGTTTTGTATCATGATAACCTAACACACCTCATGGTGCTGTTGACAACCGGCATGGCCATGAGGAAGGACAAGAACATTAGGATGAGGCACAAGAAGAGGAAGAGGCCTAGGAGGCCACAGCTGCTGGGACACGCGTTCATCACCGCTTGGTCGATCTCAAGCTCGGGATGCCCGTCCAACTGAGGAGAATTCAACGGCTGCGGAAGTTCAGCCACGCAGACACAGCGGCTGAAAATCTGCGCGGTTGATTATAAAAATGAAATTTAAATAAAAACTATAACTTGAAACTGATAAAATTATATAAAAAACAGGTCATAAAATGACTAACTGGAAGAATTACACATTCGTATGTTACAAAAGGTGTTCTTCAAAAAATTATTATTTCATATGCAAATGTTGCTGGAGGCGGACTTCAGTTCAGGTGTAATAATAAGTGTTTGAAAATTGTCATAACCTACGTGCCATGCGAGAACTGATTTCAAACACTATTGAAAAACGATTCGTCAGTAAGTGTCTATTTTTTCCTTACTAAATCACTAAAAAACCTGTTATAATGATGATGACAATCGGAATAAAACTGTACGACAATTAGTTAGTGATAATCAAACAATGTTTAGCAGAAACAATCCTGCTTACAATAGGCGCGGTCACGCCAATCATAAAACATTTAATGCAGCTCTACAATTAGCCTTCAGTAGCACGCATGATGTCAGGCCAGACTGTTTGTGGCAACAGTATAGGAAGCTGTTTTTTTAACCTTGCGATCATCATTACTCATGTTGTGCAGTTCCAGATGTAGTCAACCGCGCGTGTATAGTAAAAAATACGTTTCTTGCAGGCGTTACCAGTTATTGTTATTACTCTCAGGAACATATTTTTATGCTTTCTTTTAGAAAGGCCCTCAAATTCACATGATAATAATTTTACTTAAAATTCATCAATTAACAACAACCATTTTAAGAACATTCTTTATCATTAAAATAGTTCCCAGGATGGATTTGTACACGATTCTCCTTTTTTTGGATTGGATATCATCTAATGATCTATTAGTCTAAAATTTATTTAATTTGTTATTCTTGCAAGTTCAAATGTTTGAACCGAGATTATTCTATCTATGCACATATTGTACTTGTCTGCACTTGTTTTTGGTCGCCCGTAGAGGCGTGCGTGCAGCCGGCGTGGCAGGGCGAGTAATAGATGACGTTGTTGGCACCACACACCGGGCTGAAGGCCACGTCTATACACCCGCAGTCCAGGTTACAGCTTGACTCCATCTCCGGCGTCGACATGGAGCTTAAACTGAGGCATGCAGTCAAATTAGGGGGAATAGTATTCAAACTGGAGCATGGAGTTACTGTATATTAGAGGGATTAGTATTCAACATGGAGCATAGAGTCAAATTAGGGGGAATAGTATTCAACCTGGAGCACATAAACGAATTAGAAGAGAACGACATGATGAAAGTATGCCAAAATAGCGTATTGCATACAAATAGGGAAGGGAGTCATTGTGAGATAGCGTTAAAACCGAAGCACACGGCAAATTAGCCAAAAATATTACGAAAAAGCGGGTTGTCAAATATTCGAATTATAGCCAAACCTGGTCAGCAAACGAAGAATTTATGGCTTAAATATTAATGAGCAGAATTGTGGAAAGGCGATTGCAAATATTTTCCAGAACAATATATAGATGGCTAAGAGCTTAAGCCAATTTAGAGGCAAAAAAGATAGGTGAAATCAATGGAATATGATGCACGGTTTACAACATCTGTCCAAGAGACGGAAGTTTCAAGATGAAAACTTGCGTACAATATCTCAAGGCATTGAAATCTTGAAAAATACACCTTGTGATAAAAATAGTCCACTTTATACTGATACAAAGTACCGTATGATGTTTCCCATATAAATTTTCCGCAACGGAAGCTTACTAATAATAAAGATTTAATAACACATATGTAAGATCGATTTATTTTAAGCAAACTGAGTAGTCCGGCCAGCTAGCATTAGATTATATTACATGTTAGGTTTGGTCAGGTTGTACATAATTACGCATTGAAATGAAGAAGGCTTAATTGAATAAATAGGGATAAATAATGCGGCTATTACATCTATGAAGAAAAGGTAAAAATATTCAGCTATTTTTTAAATCTGAGAGTAAAATTATATATCCAGTATTAAATCAAAATATTAGGCTTAAAATTTGGATTCATGAAATAAAAAAAAAATAATGAATTCATTTTAAATTGGTGGAGAAAATTTGGAGCAACAATTCATTTGGTGATATTTATTCCTAACCTAACCTTACCGATCCTAACGGGGAGCTAGGATAAGTCTCATATCTTCTGTAAGGCAGTACAAACCATACATCAACTCGTATCTCTTATCCGACATGCTCCAGGATCAATAACTTAATATTTGTAACGCGCCCCTTGCCTGTTGTATGCAATGTTGAGTCCCGCAAATTTTGCATTGGGGCAACGGATGAAGAAAATAAAAGCGGAGAACATGCAGAACGAAGAGACCACGAAGCACAATCGGATGACGTTCTCACAGGTCATCTTCAGCCGTTTGATCAACAAGCCTCCCGCCAGAATGCCGCTACCTCCACCCGATATCGCTAAAGCTCCTGTAATTTTAGAAAAACTCATGCTAGTTTTTTTGGCTGCAGTTGGTGAATTAGTAGTGAGCTTCCAAATATTATCATCAGTATCTAGGAAAGGTTTGCTAATAGAGTTAACTGATTTTTCATTGGCGCACTCACCGACAACAGTGGCTGCCAGTCCGGCCGGTAAAGAGAACTGGGTTTCCAAGACTTTGGGCAAGAATGTCGCCATACCGGAGAGCACGAAGCCCTCACAAGACTTGGCAATAGAGAGAAAGATAAATGGTAGGCAAGATAAGAGGGATTTGGATGCAGTCCAAAGCCCGTCCAGCTGCCGGAAAGCGGTGACGCCTGAGGCCGGTATGGCGTCTACGGAAGACGTATCGAAGTCTCTGCTTGAGCCCTCGTCTTCGTTTGAGGGCAACGATTTGCGATCTGAGCGTTTGAATGCAGCCGTTTCTGTAATTATGGAGCTTTTAGAGGTATTCAAAATAGAATCGTATTTCTGTAGCACCCAAATACTATGTGTGTAAGAATAATAACCATTTAAATAAAAGATTTATAATATATCGTAAGAGAGCAAAATGTTTGATATAAACTTTAATAGCATGGCATGTACGGGTGGGGTTAGAGAATGTTATGGAATATACGTATGTTATATGAAAAATAATATATTTAAAGTGCCATCCATTCTGAACAGTTTCATCTCTGAAACGAGACAAAATACGAATTATTCTAAATAAAATGCAAACTTATGCGCTTTTCAACTGGATAAAAAAGTATTGACAACAGAGTTGTTAACCTGCGTGCACAATAGTTGCCCACGTAATTAAGATTGAAGATACGAGAAATAAAAACTTTTTTACTACACTTTTCCTCAAAATCAAGTGAAGATATGGTTTCCATTCGAAAAAACTAATCATTGAAGCCTGAACATTGATAATTTTGAGCAGAGCTTAGAGTGTCACTATACGTAAGCTGTCCATTGCAATTACCAAGCCGTCCATCACCTTGTTCCTCCCTTTGGTACACCGTCCATCAACCTTTTAAATCTCTCATCTAGTTCAGACAACGTAGACTTTTTACTTGTGTCGTTCCCTGACAAGAATGAAACATAGTGTCTTGCAGTGATTGCTTAAATAAGTACGACGTCACAAATAGTGTCCTGAAGAATAACTCACTGTCGACCTCGGCAGGGATCATGAGGATGGGTATGGCCACGAGCAGAGATAAGGACCCGGTGATAAGGAAGCTGATCCACCAGGCTCCTAGCCAGCGGTTGCTTGCTGGCGTCAGTCCTAACCTGATTAAAAGAAAATATATTTCATTTCTGTACTTTATCGTTCAGAAACACATTATTTATTAGTTTCTTTACTTTGTTTTAAGTGAGTGAGTGCTTGATGGCGTCAGTCCTAACCTGATAATAAGAAACTATATTTCATTTCTGTACTCATTTATTTACAAATTATTTATTTTTTTTCTTTACTTTGTTTTTTCTTTACTTTGTTGCGAGTGAGTGCTTGCATGATGGCGTCAGTCCAAACCTGATAATAAAAAACTAAAATATATATCTGAACTTTCTCGTTCATATACATATTATTTATTATTTCTGTAATTTTGTTTAAGCGAGTTGTGTTGACTTTATGCAGAAGTAAATACTCCTTGCCTGTTACTGAAGTGTGTCATTCATATAGTGTAAATACAGCTAGAATCTAAATCCCAAAACCAACTAAATAAAATTATTTCATTACCCAGCATGAAATAAGATACATTTTCAACCGTTGAAAAAGCTAATTTTATTTTTACAATTATTGTTCTGGTATTAATTCTTAGTTCTTAATTTTCGAACCCAATTAGGAGTTTTATAAAAATTAAGCAAGTCCAATCCCACCATGTTCCCTTGATTTTTCAGGGTTAACTTTATTTTCAGATGTTATTGATCAGAAACAATCTTCGGTAGTGAACCCCGCAATAACAGACGCAAAATCAGCCTCTACGCGTCCATGGGCCACTACGAGTACTTCAGCCCGTTTTCATTACACGGCTCCTCATGTTCGTAGTAAAAATACTCACGATATAATCTTATTCTAACATATATTTTAATGTTGTATGCATTGTATTGGTGACTCACTCGGCAGCGTTGACCACAGGAGCGTCAATGTAAACACTGAGCAGCTGACCTCCTATGGCATATCCCAAGGCTGGGCCAACCATTGCCATGGTACTGAAAATACCTAGAAAAAATATTTCAGAATTGAATATTTATCAGAACTATATGGCTTCAGCAATGTGATGTAACTCGACATCTCACGGTACAAACTATATGATATTTGAAATTTCAGTAACGATCCAACTTCACTGTATTTTAGTGTATGTAACATAACCGTTTATAAACGTGAGTCGGTCAGAACGGCTCATTAAAAGGCGTCTCGTTTCCGATGTATCAATATTTTGACACACGTTATGCCCTCCAAAAAATATTTAGATGTGCCTCAGGTTTTGATTCGAGAAACAGTTCCAAATTTTATTTGTGTACACCTCAGTCTTCTTAGCTCACCCAGGTAGAACGCAGACTGAGTGGGTGACACAGACTCGTCTATGAAGGCCATCCCCAACGTGTAGATCGGCGCTGCCCCGAACCCCATCAAATATTGTCCGGTAATAAAGAACCAAATGAAGTTTGGTAGCCCTTCCTCCTCAGAAGTAGAGTTGCACGTATCGCTGGTCCGTAACTGGAGGGTTGAAAATTATGAAGCATTTCTAATATTGATGATCATTTACAAACCACATTAAACCAAAATTATATGAACCAATATATATTGAAGAGCCTAAACCTAAGTTACATGAAGATCGTCGTGAAATCTAAGTAAGTTAAACCTTGACTGACGACGTCGATCCGTTCTTATACGCGGCATCGTAAAATAATTTTAGATGAAACTCCTTCAATAAAGTCATACAGCAGTGTACCTTAATTAATAACAGTAGGTCACTGCAAATAGTTGGGAGATCAAAACGTTGTAAAAGAGGTTTTTCCTCTTTATTTGATCGCCAAATTACATCCACATCCATCCGTATGGCAAATATATGGACATTCTTTATCAAATAAACTCGGACGGAATAGAACAAAATTAGCTTGACACTTTAACGACTGGACGCTTTAACGTGAACGTTAAGTTCCAAGTAGGAGGCCAACTCAGTGGGCCTCCAGGTATAATTTTCTAGATTTAATCAGGTATGGGTACCTGTACTTATGTTGTTATTCATCTATATTGGAACCCCGACTTACGAGCGTCCTGCTTTAAAATAAAACCGCCTTACGAACCGTCAGATTGGAAAAACTGTGCTCCGCTACACAAAAGTGTTTCGCTGTACAAACCCGATCACTGCAGAAATGCAGTAGATCGGCAAAATAGTGTCGATATCGATTGATGATAAATTGTACATTATCAAGATGCAAGCGATCGACCAGCATAGCGGGTTGAATGGCTGAAATAAAAGTATGGCTGAAAGTTCAGCGTATGGCTGAAATAAAAGTATGATCTTGACTAACTCCTGTCAGAAAAATGCCTTGTTAGCCACCTCAAATAAATTAAATTATTTTTCACGTAATTGCATATACAATATATGCATAAAAGAGGTGACTTTTGTTGAGGCCCGACATGGATAGGAGTTTTTACCCTTATTACCCTTAATTTACTGAAATTGAAAGAAAAGACTCCTCTATGTTTTATTTCACTTTACCATATTTTCCCAATTAATAATTTTATTTATCAATTAAGTTCGGGCACAAATAAAGTTTGTATGGCTGGGTTCCACCGTATTCGTCTCCTCCTTTCTAAACATAGGTAAACTTTTATAGCCTTGCTATTGCTTTGAAAATGACATCATTTGTTGGAACGGTTCACTAAACACCGCCCTCAGCTGATGCAGAGTTGGCAAGGTTTGCTAATTAAAATTGTAAATGTGCGCGCAATGACGCCAATGCTAAAATTTCAAACGTGCGGTGCTGACTGATAGTGTGCTTTGCACGTCTTTGTGCATTCAATTAAACAACAAATAACATTAATGAATGGGCGCTGGTGCTTTTCATTTATTTAAAATGGCTGAAATAATCTTACTCTATAATATTTTGGAACCATCATAAAGAAATAAAAAACTTTAATCATACATGCAAGTTGAAATTTATAGTCCTCGTAAAAATATCCGTAACGAAGAAGTCTGTCGTAAGTTTCGAACTAACTTGTTCGTGACAGAGACTGCTGGTTTGGGTACCGAGCGTATCATTGTCGACTCTGACTTCGTAGGGAGGAACAAGCAGATGGGGAAGCATGAACATGTAAGACCCCAAGCCCAAGATGATCAATCCCGCCCCCAACCATCGAGGCTTCGAAGACCCAGGTCTGGATCCAAGATACGAGACCGGTACAGACACCAGAACTGAGGCCACGTCGTACGACCCGGAGATAATACCTGCAACCATGGTTGAATTAATATATGTATTAATTAAACATACCTGCAACAGCCGCACTCATTGCTTAAGTGTTCACATGAACATGTAAATGTACAGTCTACCAGATGAAAATATTTCAAGACTTAAAAGAATTACTTGGAATGCAGAACGCTAACTCACGAAGGAAGGCTAAGCCGACAGCATGAACGTTCAAATTTGCAGTCTACTATGTATGTATATATAGATATTGTATGGGCCGAAAATATTTTAAAACTTTGAAAACATTACTTGGAAGGAAAATCGTCTTTAAAATCAAGTCAGTAACTTATTTGTAACGAGTGTAGGATGGACGGAATGGTCAAATATAATTTTCCATGGTCATGACAAAATTTTTGGCGTCGGTTTTTAGATTCAGCACAGGTACACAAAATGTCACCGAAAATATCAATTCCTATGATCATCATGAAACCTTTGTCCTATTATCATGTCACGAGATTCATCATAAAATAATATTACTTAAAAAACATAGTTTATAATATATAAGCTCTAAGTGCAGGCGACGTTTTGGAGACAACGTGCTGTGAATCGACTACATTTTAATTATATGAATCGTGCATTGGATCTGGTATTCTATCATGTGTTGTAGGTGTAGACAATAGATCAAAACTCGGTGTTTGCAAGTGCAGCATCTCAATTGTGTCCAAACAAAATATCTTATATTATTTGGTCATGTGACGAGGTGTGTACGTTTACATAGCTCCCGACAATATTTTGCGATGGAAGTGAAACAAAAGGTTCACTCTGGAAGCAAGTTAAGTTTCTTATCGTGCGCAGTCAATATTTTTAGTAAATAAAAATTCTATGAATTCCATACCGAAGTCTGGTGAATATCTCGACTATGTATAATGCTTCTTATATGATACCTAACATGATCATAATTCTCACACGATAATTAACCAGATGATAATTCTGACAGGATAATTAACTAGATGCTACCTATCTATACAATATGTTGAGGACGTTTGTATATGTATAAAGTCATTACTTACAGGATGACTTGCATTCTTCAGGTTTCCGCTCAACTTGCGCCAAGTGTAATATGCATATAATCATATCATATGATATATGCGCGCTAATTACTTCTACTGATCATTTCATAATCCAATTACAAATCTGAATAATTTCGAGACAACGTGGAAAAGAAGATACTTTACACTAAATTTGCAGATGCATATATTGAGTCTTGAATTTAATGAGAAAATATTCATCAAAAACAATCTCACCCGTGCTCCCAGACATGAGGTTGAACCTCTTCTCGATGGTCGTAATGTTGACGTTGACGAAGCCATTGACGACCATACCTGACATAAAACATGAGGCAGATGATCAGAGGAGATTGATTAAATAAAGTCAACGCTAGCAATGAATGTTTTATTCATACATAGAATTTAAGAGAAAATGTGCAGATACAGGCAAAACATGAGTAAAAAAGGCGATTTTAATTGGGTTGTGGCATCTGAGTTTCCTGTCTAATGAATGAATCCGGGAGCCAGGCAGGGTGGATCGAGATTAGTTGATATAACTTGACATTCATAAAATACGGGATCGTTACGGGACGATCCCGTATTTTATTGTTGGGAATAAGCAGGTTGCCGACACAACCGTTGCCGCGCTTATTTAATTAGCTCGCGAAACCAACCGGAATCATTATAGAGAAAGCATCGGAAGAAATTCGGAAGAAGTTACAGATATAATAAAAAGTTCTTTTGTTTGGTTTCGTTCTGCACTGAATGTGGAATAATTTGAGATGATACATCGTGATGAATTTTATCTATTTCAAGAAACGCTTAGAAACTACTCGACAAGTTTATTCTGAAGATGTGCCGTGCAACTACTACTGATGGTTAATTTATTTGAATATTTGATCTTTATATATTTTACATGTATTTTATACTACGGATGTTTTGTATATTTGTATACAACATTTTCTTTTAAATTCTTGAAACGACGCTTATTACGAGTTGATTTCATTGAAACAAAGTTCAATCAGTTATTTAAACGTCAATAAAACGCTTAAATAACGTCATTTAAACGTCATCATTTAAACGGCTGGTAGGAAGTCCTGAATCACGAGAATTAAAAACTGACCCTGTACGGCTGCAGCCCAGCACATCCAGAAGAGGAGCCACTTGGCAGTCCTAGAATGCTGGACGCAGCGCCCGCTGAAGCAGAAGTGCCAGCCACACCCGTCACCGGGGGCGGGCTGCTCGTCGTCTGCTGCGCCGGCCGCGGGCTTTTGCGGGGCGACGCAATTTTCGTCCATGACCGACTTCAAATTATTAGATAATTAAATTGCGGCAATTATAATTGCCATGAAACAACCCGAGTTGAAATTCTGGTGTCATTAAAAAAACTATTCGGGCAAAAAGGGCTTTCAATTTGTATGGAACATAGATTAGTTTTTTTCTAGCTTGAAGAAAATGAGGTTTTATCCTCTGACTTAGCGAGACGCGAATTTCGATCATTGGAGCTCATAGTCGTTGCTCATTGGAGCTCATAGTCGTTGCTCATTGGAGCTCATAGTCGTTGCTCATTGGAGCTCATAGTCGTTGCTCAATTGGAGCTCATAGTCGAAATTGTGATCATTCCAACAATAAAAATCATAGTAAAACTGTTGAAAAGCAACACGCTGTGTCAGCTGGAGGCTCTGGTCGGCCGCTCTACAGCCTGTCGTTTTTATTTCAACACAAAGCCATAAATAATAATTTCTTCACACGAGAATACTGTCTTATTTTAACAAATGCCACTTTTTTCCAACCGGAATGGAGAAAATTGTGGATTTTAGGAGTCAGAAGTAGCGCCAAACAAGTTTCGGTAAGAATTAATCGTTAATTTTTGACAAATAGATAGCATCCAGAGTCATCTGTAGACGGTCACTTTCGATTTTAAATAAGCGCTATGAGAAAATCGAAAATAATTTAATTACAATTTCGGTACAGATTGTCTTTTGTCTCATTTGGAGAACATCAATGGACCTGATAGCTCCTTACTAACTAGGTGCAGTTGGCCGACCTCGTCTTGTGCTAGCGAGACCGAAAAACTTGTTTGTCCGGTGCAGTAACGCGCATCGTACCAGAATCGGATTCTGCATTCACACAAGCACCTCTCGCTCTCCGGTTAAAACTGGTTCGGTTCTTCCCAAGTCTTTACATTCCATAACATAACAATATCTAATTTTCCAGATCCTAAGCAATGCGCATATATTCAGTGACAAATGCTTAGTGCATTTTGTTGAGGTCTCTCAATAACAAACGGGTCCGGCACTTAATACTCGATGCGCTGGTAGTTGATCTGCCTATTTCCTCAGTTAGTTAGATCAGTTTAATAACGTTCACAGCAGGACATCGAAGTCGAACTGCGTATTCCTTATTTGCATTATCTTGAAGCAACCTTATTTCTCCGATGGTTCGGTAAGAGTCATGCTTTACTTTCATATTACGGATTTCTATTCTGCGCAAACCGTACTTAATTTAAAATATTTTTTACATTCAATCCTGTAAATTCGTTATTTCAATTTTGTTGGCATGAGCCACTTATGGATTAATAAACCAAGTTCTTCCTTGCTGATACATCCATGATTAGAGCAGAATTACCATTCCACGAATACAGGAGTAGAAGGGATCTGATATTCGTAAATCTACTTCCAATATAAAACGTATCAAATTACATCATTTGCACTTCAACGCAGCAATGAATATAACGAAAAAATATCATCTCCGGATCATTGCCTTAGTGCTATAATCGAACAATGAAATCAAAATGATTTAAATTCTTTAATTTAAATGTTATGAAAATTCGCCGATGAACCTGTAACGAAGAACGAGATTAGGCATTTGGCAGAAGACATGTTGAATAATGAGATCTGAGGGCGCGTTCAACAAGTAATCTATAGGCACGTGTTGAACAGGAAATCTTGGGCCGTGTTGAACAGGAAATCTCGGGACGTGTTGAACAGGAAATCTAGGGACACGTTGAACAATAAATTTGCTGAAAGTTTGATCCACAAGCCAAACACAGGTTAGACTATCGCGCAGGACGCGTGCCCTTGCAACCAATTGCCAGAGTTTTTGCATTACTTAGAAAAATGTTTTAGATGCTTTGACTCCAAGATCTTTAAGCAGCCAGTGACCAGCAAAGTCTCGAATTGGGACAGCGGAACCTGGGTTCAAGATAAAAATGGTATCATAATAGTATCAAGAATTGTTCTGTATTATGCCTGAGTTGTAGTTTCAAACTGAGTTGTAGTTTCATCTCAACTTCTCGAATTTTAAACTTCAAATAATTCTATGTTCACATAATATTTTTCAATCAAGCTCAACGTCTATAACATAGAAGATAGACGTTCTCTATTCACCATTCTTACGATCACTTCTTATAAAATTGTTTAAAACATGATTGTTGTGAACGCACGCTGTTCTAAAAAAATTAAAATTAATTTTTTTCCAAAAGCGTAACCATTCGCGACCAGTGCTGCAGAGATACTGGAGGCTCCGGACGTTGGCAACTTGGCAACTGGCATTGAGTGTTGCATTGAGTGTCTTCGGGGCACAATTAAGGCGTCTGGTTTATAGCAAGAGAAATGGCTGAAACTGGGCATGTTGTAAGTTAGTAATTCATCGATATCAATAAAAAAGGAGATTTCTGCTCTTCAAAAATAAATCATCAGGTTTTCTAGCCGATTTAGAGTGAGGCGTAGCCTAAGTCATGCTGGTAAGCTGATTATTTATCATTCTATTTTGTTTAGCCTAAACTGTGCCAACTTCTGCACAGGCATCATGACACACATTGTCTTTACTCCTCCAATCGTCTTTTTATCTAAGCTAAATTAGGAATTGACGAGTTTATGAAGAGGAAATTATACATGTTTTACGTTGAAAGTAACGTTACAATGCGCATTGAGCTAGAAAGTCTCAAGTCTAAAAGTAGCAACAACTAAAAGTAAGGTGAAAAGTTAAAGTAAGGTAAGGTAAGCCACAAAACAATCTACGTACGACCATGAATAATGAATAATTATTATGTTAAACGAATTCAAGGAACATTGTTGGGAACAAAATTATTTCTCAGCTGCTGCATGAAATTCTTCATGTGCATATAGAATCATTTATAAACTTTATTACAATGATAATGATTTTTTTACCGCAATAGCAATATTTCCTAATTTGTACAGTTAATTGATGCATCCTCCGAACAGTGGCATTGAATGATTCATGATCCTGCTCATTTTTGTCCTTCAGAGCCTCAAACTTTCTCCTCGCTTCAAAAGGTTAACGTAATTTATTTTCACATTTAATTATTTAATTTAATTAAACTAGACTGCATTGCTGAAATGGTTGACTTCTTTTTACCCAATTTGAAAACAAGATATAGCAGCCATTGCACTGTTTAATGAATACTTGCGTCCTGGTATTAAAATAACCACATAATATTTAAATAAAGTTTTTATTTTAAAACAGCGAGTTGCAATTATTCTCTTATTAACGTCTAATTTAGAATTAGGTTCATGACTTATTCGGTTCAAAACATATAACTTCGAACGAAACCTTTCATAACTGAGTCAAGAATCTTGAAGTATACCTCAAACAAATACTGTGTACGTATCACAACAAGCTATGTTTTATCTATCACACCTCATATCTTATCTACTGTTCAATCCATCGCACAACTTATCTTTTCTTTCGTATTATTTTACAGGTGAAAAGAAGGTGACATTATGTAGTGTCACAGGTCAGTGACACTATATACATAATGCTGTCAAATTCTTGCTTTATAGCACAGCATTGAAATTTTTCAATAATATGTTTTATCTTATCGTTGTTGTAACAATGAATTGCATCACTTTGCATTCGACGAAATAAGAATTTTTCCAAGTGAAATCATATTAAGTCACACATTAATTATCTTGTGTTCGCCAGGATTCATAGACTAAATTTCTTACAGTGCTGCACGGCCTCGTTCATTAATATATAATATGTATTATTATAGTGGGCATAGTTTGTTGAAACGTCTATTATTATTTGGCATTGGCCTGTGCCTTTAAGCGATGTTCAATTTGTAAAATTCTTATCGATATCTACCAAATCGAAGCAAATTTTTTTCCTTAGACAACCTTTTCAAATTTGTTTCTTAGAATGGTAGATGAACATTTTAACACTAACAAAATTTATGATGCTGTATTATTAATTAGAATTTGTGGAATACTTTTTATATGAGCGAAAAAAGCTTTCGAAGCTTTCAATCAAAAAAGCTTTCGAATCATCGATCAAGAAAAAAAGAGACTCATAAACCTTATGAACTAGGTACATGATGTATAGTATTGTTCACACGGCCCACTCATTGTGTTGCTCACATATGGTCCACTTATATTATTTTTCTCGTCGCCCATCCAATGCTTTTCTATATATTCATTCTGCATGATCTTTGTGATTCCAATTAATGAGGTGCTTATTTGTACTCAGGGACTAACATGGCAGACAGAAGTTAAAGTGAGTGGGAGACAGAAGTTTAAGTTGTGATTGTAATTTAGTCGTATGCTGAAGTTACCCGAGTTCGTTCGTTGCAATATTCACAAAGCTGTCTTGTAACGATCTAACTCGTTCAGCCTCAATCCTCCACAATTTTCCGAGGTATTAATTCATACAAATTGCGAATTGTTTTCAAACTAATTTTAACCCATTCTTCAGTTAAAACTCCCTCCAGCTCATATATAAAGACGATCGCGGCGGGAATCGACTTCTGACTTACATCTCTAAAATCGACAATAAATGCTCGATAATATTCAGGTCTTGTGATTTTGGTGGCCAAATGAGAAGCTCAACTTCATTAGAATATTCTTCGCGCCAGTTTTTGCCAATTCCAGATGTATGGATCATTATCGTCTTGGAATATGGCGTTCCCCTCCAGAAACAGTGCTTGAACCATTTGATGAACTTGGTCCTCCAAAATTCCAAGATAGCCACGGCTGTTCTTTCTTCTATGAAGAGAAATCATGTGTCCGCCAGACTTCTAAGAAATGGCATCCCAGATCATCAAAGATCCCCCCCCATGTTTTACGGTTGGGAGGAGGCAGTCTGGATTAAATGACTCGATTGACTGTCTCTTTTTTGACGATTTTATTTAGGAAGTGGTATGACAATGTCTGATATATATTGATGAAAATTAATGCACGTTGATAGTTATAGCGTTCATAAACAGCAACAGACATCGCATTAGAGGTACTATCATGTATCTCACCACGTGTCTCCTTTCAACTCAAAATGTGCTAGATACCTCTCCCGAAACTCTAAAACTCTCGTTTAATAGTTCGACCAAAAGGAATAAGTGCAACTAAAAAATGGGAAATGACTTTCCAACAAAGTTGTAAAAACAAAAATTACTAAAAGTATCTGGGCAAGGTTAAAATATCAATTAGCAGCAACAATAAACAACAAAACATAAAAGTAGGCTTTCTCACGTTTTCATTGTTTAAAACATGTTTACAAATTATGACATCAAAATGGCAGGTGTTTCCCTTATTTTATCCAACCCCTGTATATGTAATGACATCAAAATGGACTGAAGTCCATCTTACTCTAAATTATAAAATTAATATCAACATTGTCTTAATGCCCGGAAATATATAACAATATATCCTCCAAGTCTCCTTTTTTTCAGGTCTAATTAATCGATGAAGGCTCGATGGGGCATTTCGCCTTCACACAGAAATACTTTATATATCGCTGATAATTTATTTTCGCTTTATAATAGGTCATCTTAAATTAATATTCACGGCCTACCCACATCTTGGTCAAGCTCTTGGTCCTTCACACTTGTAACAACTATACAGCGGGGCAGAGGTATGCTGTCGAAGAACGCGTTCGAGAACTTCATACTCGTCGTCCACATACTTAGCGTCTTTGATTTCTATGTTACACAAGCACAATGCTAACGATCGGTTGAAGCAAACATAGAAAATTTAATTTAAGTAGCTTCTTGAGAATTTAGAAAAATTTCAGCGCATTTGAAGTCGCCGAACTTGTACACACTCTCACCTTATATAGCTGCCATTAAATATGGAACAATCACAATGAGCTTCTTCTAATTTGCTGAAAGCAGGGATGAAAAAATGTTCCATTCCATGATGAGCACGCAATAAAATATCACTCTGTCTTTTTACGAGAACTAATAATTTGAAGAAGATAAAATCGCAGGTTAAGGACCGACATATTTTAATCATAATTGTAATTCAAATTTTAAAATGATTTTCACGTTTCTGTAATTAAATTTCTCAGGACTCCAAACCAACGGTTTAAAAAATCGGTAAACTTCCGTAGTTGAAGGCTTAATAATGAATAAGTTTATATACTTTTTTCAACAGATAACTAGATGGTAACACGAATTTTCGTATCACCGACGATGTGACCAAACAGCGATGGCGTAGAAAAAGACGGCCGGTACTCTTGCTGCCAGCGAGATGTACAGCAACGACCTGCACAGATAGAAGCGGTGTTTTAAGCTGCATTTTTTTTTATTCTTGAACGGAACAAAGTACGAATCTAGTATCAGTTTGAACTGTTGTCCCAACTACCCCGGAGAAGAATCCTTTTAAAAACATATATTTCATAATTATTATATTCAGATGGTCGTTTGAGCTTACTGACCAAATGATTATGCGCCCATTTTTTGCTTCTTAATCGCTTGCATACTTTCATTCCGAATGGCAGAATATTAGGTTACTCTTGTTGTCTATACTGAGTGCCGAGCGAGGATCGATGAATTCAACTCGTGAAATGAATTAACGATGCGTATATGGTACAAAACCATTGTTGCAGCAGCTGGAACGCACTTGGATATTCTTTCTAACTGAAGAACTAACCTGTATTTTTAGACGTAAAAATACAGGCTTTCATCATTAGTAACTTACGTATACCAGAAGTCTCCGTTCTCCCTCATCCTACATTGAAAGACTGAGTATTCAATGGATAAGTGCTCGTTGTAACCACCTACCCAGAGGAATAACCTGTTCCGGGATAGGTGTTTGTTGTTTAACTACGTAAATGACCACCGACCTGTCCATTGAGAAGTGCTCATAGATGGCACAGGAACCTTGTTCGTGGTCGTCAAGTTGCTCCCACAACAAGCAGGTCTTGTCAAGAAACAAGCCGAATATTACAGGGCCCGTGATACCGCCCAGGGCTCGGGTCAACTGAGACCTCAGCGCAAAAGCCAAGTCGCGTTCGTTTTCACGCACGCACCTGCAGTGAACCAAACAGTTATAAAACCAATTAGTAATAACGCTTTCATACGATCCCTATAGTATGATTTCATCTAATGAATCACATTAGAAAAAATTTACTAGAGCCTAAATTCTCTCCGTCACACGAGTAAGTTATATATTGCCAGAGAAATTTAGATATTAGTTAGTTTATTTGAATTCAACTAATAAGTTCTAACGAAAAGTCCAGAAAAATTCCTAAGCTTATGGGACTGTGAGAATAAGTACAAAGTCAGTGGTAAATTAAATTTTAACGCGGAGAGTATAACACTATTCTTCGCCCAAACAAACATGCCAGTGTCAGAATGGAGACGAGAAAGAATGCACACCATGTTAGCAAAAGTGTAACTTAGAAACGGTTAGAAGAATAACAAATCAACTTACCTATTAGAAAACAAAGTTGAATTTGTTCAGTGACTGCACAATTTTCACGCGTTTTTCTCCTTTAATTGAAAGTACATTAAGTTAGACAGTGACACATTTCTTTTTGTAGTTGGATATAGTACAAAAAATCCTTCAGAGCCGCTGAAGGATTGTTTAGCTTCTGACATCCAATTTTAAATTAGATACAAATGAGTGAACTCACCTCAAAGCAGCACTTTGAGAAGCGATGTTGAGTGCAAAAGTTGAAAATATTCCAATGAAGAATAACATGAAGAAGAGAATGAGCAACCCATAGCAGGGAGCTGGGCACTTGTCTTGAGAGGCAAAACCCATAGTAGAAGTCAAACTTCTCGGATGCAAGGAATTTTCTGATGAATTACTAATCAAGCTTTCTGTTCTTTGGAAGTCTTCTGTCTTCAATTCCGGAAAATATTTTGAGAAGAGCTCCAAGCGATGCGAAGACTGTAACTTGTCCGAGTCGTAATGTACACAGCTACAGTCGCTAAAAACCTGCGTTGTGGACAACTGTTAACAACTCTGTGTCGTGAAAGTCAAATTCTAAATATTAAGGCAAATATGAATATCAAATAACACTATAGAGATTAATAATAGTATTTTATAGATTGGTTCTATGCCAACTCTATAATTAGGCTTGACAAAAAGTCTGTCATCGGTTTTCCGATCTGGCACGAAATTTAGTATGAACAACGCAGCATGTTTTAGCTTCTTTTAATTTCCACGCGAGAAGAATTGTTCAAAATAGAACCTGTGTTTGTCCTTACTCTAAGCTTTATTATCATCTAGAATGAAAAATATGAATAGCACAAGACGTTCAGCTCTTAATTTTGATGCAAGGAAAAATCATTTCATATATAGGTAACCCATGTTCAAACCTTTGTTTGCCATTCTTTCAGCATTTTTCTGATCTAGGGTAAAAATTTTGAACAGCGTTAGACGTTTTAACGGCATTTTAAATTATTAAAAATTATAACTTGTGTTTTGTCTTACTTTTTGGTGGGAGTTAATGGCTCCATGGGCCAGTGAGCAGCCAGCGTGGCAGGGCGAGTAGTAGACGAGGTTGTCGGAGCCACACACGGGGTTGTAGGCGACGCTCTGGCAACCGCAAGCGCTGTTGCACGATGACGTCAGAGTCCATAAGTTGTCGCTCAAGTTTCTAAACGCCAAGAAGATATATCAACTTAAATATATATATATATAAGATATATGTATCAACGTAAATCCTAAAGACGTTGATATAAGGATTAAATCCTAAGCTTTAAAATTCTGCATAACTCAAATATGTAAGACAATTTTCTTACTTTTCAAAATGTATATTGACGTATTTTTTCAACCCAGTCATTTAAAGTGAATGAGCTTTACTGGAGCATAATGCATTAAACAATGGGTGGTGATTAAGCTGTTCACCTACGGACAACTTTTTCATCAGCAATGGAATGTATTATGTATGTAAAATATAGAAAACAGTAACATTTGCTCGTCAAAATTTGTGATACTCAGATACACTCTCAGGTTAGGGTATCTGTGCTACTGTACAAACATTTGATTGCACAATATTTACTGATTATAACTGAGTACTATCGATAGGAAACTTGTACCAATTCTCACTGCAACACAAAAAAGAAATTTTCCATTCAAAAACGAAAAGCTATCTCGTTGTGCTTAGTTATTTTTAATCAACCCCTGCATATCCGAATTTGTTAAAAAACTGAATCACTCGACATTTAAAAATATGAAATCTGACAAATAAAGCGCTTCGAATTCCATGCAAAAGTAAAATAGGTGAACATTAAAGTGTTCCTCACTCTTGGAAGTAAGGCTCAGTGACACCAGCAAACGGTGCGTTGGGGCAATAGATGAGGAAGGAGAAGCTGGACAAGACCAGCACCGCTGAGCCCCAGAAGCAGATCTGAAGTGTCTGGTGGGTGTTCACGTTAAGCTTCTTCAGTATCCAGCCCCCGAACACACACCCCAGCAGCCCTGACGGCACGCCTGTCACGCCTGTTCCCAAAATGCATACTGAATTGTTTAAGTAAGTAAAGTTCAACTGAATTATTTAAGTAATAATTATTTAAATTATTATTTTCACGTTAAGCTTCTTCAGTGTCCAGCCCCCGAACACACACCCCAGCAGCCCTGACGGTACGCCTGTCACGCCTGTTCCCAAACTTCATATTGAATTATTTCTAACAAATGATTCAGGTTAGAGTTCCAAGGAAAATATGTATAAGTAATGAGTTAAGGCAGAAGGATTATTTCACATAACATAAGTTCATGTACAAATTTATACTAAATATCGATTAATCGATGAAGTTTTTTATTCATCTGTCAATACATAAAAGAAAATACTAGAAGAGTAAAAAACCAATTCTGGTCTTCATATCAGGAACTAACTTTATAACCGATAATCATAGTGAATTATAATTGTCGAATTGATGGACGTCTGGTATATATTTAACAATAGATGCTCAGTGCTTTTTCAAATACTCAAAGATATTATGCTTATTCTCTGACAGCGTTAATCTTGCATTCAAAATGATGAGCGGTTGACAAGGTACGTATTAAGCTACAAAATTTATGACAAAACCATCATTCTCTCTAAACCTTTTTTAATGAAATAAAATGAATTTAGAAATACTCTTGACAAATGCCTCATTTGTTGGAGCGATTTGTTCCTCAAAGCCATTAATTATCAACACTAACCCACACGTAAATTGATGTTCAGTAATGAAACAATTACCTACCCTATCTAGTTTCAAACTATATTGAAACCGGATAGCTAAAATCATTCCCAAATAAATCAAAGAAGAAGAAGAATAATCAGCTGAAAACAAAACACACTCACCGACAAGGAGCGCAGCCGTGCTAGCCGATAAACTGAATTGACTCTCGACAACTTTGGGCAGAAACGCACCGAGGCCGGCCCCTAGCATGCTCGGGGATATTTCCCCAATAGCGAGGCTCATGAAGGTGACGTTGCCGAGAATGTCACTCATCTTAGGCGGACTGTCGTCAATGCACGACGGTAACTTTGGACCATCGGCTATAATGTCTTTCTTGCTCTCTGAAAAAAATTCAGATGCAATTAAAAATGAGTTAGTTCCATTATGGCATTTTACGGTTATTTTAGAATTGTGAAAAATTTTTCATTATCCCGGAGAGCGATAAATATCAATTGGATATTGCTATAGATTAAATACGAATAAAATCTTAAGGGGATTAGTATAATCCATTGTTCAAGGGGAGCTTAAAGCTAAACTTATTCACAGACAAATTTTTAGTATTTTCTTTCGAATCGAAAGCGGCAGAGTCAGAACACAACACGAGAGTGGAATGCTCCACTTTATATGCACTCATTAAGCGTTTGAATTGTGTACTAAGGATACAATAAATCACCTGATATTAGTGAAGCCTTAGTTTACTCTATTCAAGTTGTCCAGTAGCTCACGAATTTCACAAATGTGCTTAAATTATCATACACGATTTATACAAAGAATATTCACTTGTTGGAAGTGAAAACCAATTTGAACTGCACAAATTATAAATTACTAATAACTACACGGAAATTATTTATTTTTTATTATTATTTTTTCGTTACAAATGACAGAAAAATGTATTATTTATTTTTTCGTAACAAACGAAATAAAAATTGAGATCTTACTCTGAATGTTGGCTGGGAAGGCCAGAAGAGGCCCTGCAATCACAGCAGAGGCCACGGCCGTGATTAAGAAGCCCAGCCACCAGCAGCCCAGCCAGAGGTCGTTGGCAGGCGTCAAGCCAATTCTGGCCACATTAAATAGACTACATTGAAATTTAAAGGACATGAACTCAGATATTAGTTTAACTGGAAGAAACTGTTAATTATTGTGATAGACGATAAAACGGGAATGAAAATAAAATAATGTTAAACACGACTAGAAGGTGTCTAATTCTATAATAAAATTTTTATCACCCAAGACAATGACGCTCATTACATTTGGTTATGAAAATACATTTAAAAACAATACAAATGGTTGCATGGCTATTAAAAATTTTGATATAATCACGATATTTTGCGAGCGCCAGCAATAAGGTTTTCATCTTTTTCAAATACCATTAAAGACGATGATAGCATTTATAATAAGAACAGAGGTCTGTTTTCTCATAAAAATCGCGAAAACAGCCTACGGCACCTACACTTCGAGATCAGCCGATGGCCAGTCGATGTAGTAGGTGAGCAGAAAGCTGCCCAAAGCGAACCCGATAGCCGCACCCGTCACAATCATGGCCCCAAATATTCCTGCAGGATAAATTTTTACATTTAAATAAATTTTGAGACAGTTTTTAGAACAGTTAAAAAAGCCAGTTGACTGGCAGTATTGGTGCAATGCTGTAAAAATCTTATTGAAGAAGTCGTGCACCACGGCTGCAGGCTAGTCGAATGGTAAAATTTAAGAGCACGGAGATTACAGCAGTGAGTTGAGGGTTAATTGAAGCTAATTATGAAAATCAATTGTATATTGACGTGATAATCGAGTCGTCATAAACAGCAAAATTGGATCAACGATTTGGTGGGAATCGATGAAGAGTAACTAGCGACACCTCGATACCGACGAAGGAACTCACCGATGAAGAGAGACGAGCGACGTCTCGACCCCGACAAGTCTATAGAGACGATGATGGAACTCACCGATGAAGAGAGATGAGCGACGTCTCGACTCTGACAAGTCGATAGAGACGATGATGGAACTCACCGATGAAGAGAGACGAGCGACGTCTCGACACCGACGAGTCGATGAAAGCCACCCCCAGCACGACCAAGGGAACGCATCCTGTGCCCATCAGGACTTGGGCGACCAGGAACACGTAGAAAACACTGAAGCTCCAGTCAGGCGGGATTATTGGCTCACTCAGAATAATGTTCTGTGGAATGGGAAGAAATTCAAGTTGATAAATCCTTCCCAACACTCTGCGCTTCGGTTGAAAGTGCCGCAAATACCAGAATAAGAAAAATACCAGACATTAGGAATATAACCAATTCAATCTTAGACTATTGATCGTTAGGAGCCACTAAAGATTGCGACAGTTATTACGGAAAAAATTACTTCTAACACAGTTTATTTTCCGATCAGTGAACAGTTTTTACGGAACGGGACTATCTACTGCTATGCTTGGACTGGGCTTCAAATAGTGTTGGTGCTGAAGTAACAGCCGCTTTATAGTAATACGTTTTCTAGGAATTTAAATACGAAAAAATTTCTTTCCTTACCCACAGTTATTTTTATTTCTTTACGACAAATTTATAGTCTCATATTAACACAGCCGCAGATCGCAGTGTTTAACTTTAGTCGCCTTCAGACAGCAGACTGATGTTTCTGAAATAATAATTTCATTTGCACTAATACTAATAACTTTAATTTTCAAACCTCAGAGGCACAAAGACTGCGTGTACTGTTGCTATTGACGAGGCCCCTGACATCGTATGTGGGTCCGAAAAAATGTGGTGTTGCGTACACCAGAGACCCCGCGGCCACCATGACCATCCCGCCGCCGATCCATCGAGACCGGGACGCCCCCGGCCTCGAGGCGAGGTAGGCGATGGGGAGACACATCACGCAGAATGCTACGTTGAAGGTCCCGGCGATTACACCTGCAGGGAAATTTACTGATTAACTTGGATGATCTACTTAGCTTTGGAAGTTGTACTTGGTTGCTCCTGGACAATCATATGCAATGTACCCCTTCCTCGTATGATTACAACTAGTACGACGATGACATCTGCAGGGATATTCACTGATAAACTTGGATGATCTACTTAGCTTTGGTGTTGATCTTGGTTGCTCCTGGACAATTTTATCTAATTTACCCCTTAATCGTATGATTACAGCTAGTACGACGATTACATCTGCAGGGAAATTCATTTGTAAACATGGATAATCTACTAAGCTTTGAAAGTTTGACTCTATTGCTACTAAGCAGTAAAATCTAACGTACTCTCATTAATTTGTATGCTCAAAATTAGAAATTGAGAGCCGTGAACACTCAATAGACATGAAAATTAAGAAAAATAATATTTCATCATGATCTTTTTGACGAAATTTCTTCAAGTAAATGTATTTTTCAAACCGAGTCCGCCGATCTACGGCAGAAAGTATTTTCTTTCATCTACTGGACTCGTTCTAGTAACTGCACATATCTACAAATTTTCTCATTATGACGCTGCTGTTTTATTATGAAGATGAGAGACCTACTCTCTTTATGAGGCTGCTAGTTCATAATGAAGATGAGAGACCTACTCTCATTATGACGCTGCTAGTTCATTATGAAGATGAGAGACCTATTCTCATACTCTCATTATGAGGCTGCTATATATAGTTCATTATGAAGTTAAGAGACCTACTTGAATTTTTTGTGCTGAAAAAAAAAAACAAGAGAGTATCAGACGACATTATTTTGATTAAATCCCAGAATTTCTAATTCTTGCTCTAACTTGAAAGTTTTCTGTATAATTATATATTAATTTTATTCATCTACTTGTCACGGTTAATACCTATTCATTGAATGAATATTATTGAATATATTATTTATATTGAATATTATTATATATTGAATATTATTATATATTGAATATTATTATATTAAATTGAATATTATTGAATGAATATTCATTGAATGAATATTATCATCGAAGAAATAATTATCAAAGCAAAATACGATTTTGCATTGTACTGTACCCATATTTGTGACAAAAAATGTGAAACAGTTCATTTTTTGCACGTGTTAAAAGCGTATATTTGGACTGTAATTTTTTTTATATGTTATTGAAATACATGAAAAGTCTTTGGAATGTTTGCAATAAAACATTATTATTATTCAACAATATTCATTGATAACTACATTCGAAAAATTAGGAATTCATTTTCAATCAAAAAGTTCATCTGCAAATTTAAAATTATTTTATTCACGTACAGTTTATCTTCCTTTTAGTTTAAAATAAAAACGATTGAAAGAAACGCATATGCTGCATATTAAAACAATCGATAATAAAAACTTTTTGTTTCTGAGTGATTTTTTGAGTGCTAGCACACCACGAGAGCAGCCTCTTAATTCAGTATTTCCAAAGCACGGTCGTTAATAATATTCAATGCACGAAGTAACTGACAAGAACATGACATATATTAGGAAATATCTTTCATCAGAAGGTGCCACTCACCAGTGTCACCAGATTTCAGGTGATATCGCTTTTCGATGGTCGAGAGTGTGACGTTTACGAAGCCCATGTGCACCATACCTGAATATATGAACGTATCCTTAAAAAATGCTTTTCTAATAACTGAAATTCTTATATTCTACCTACGAAACTAAAAGAAATTTAATTCTTGAGAGAACCTCATGAATTAAATAAGGAGCTGACAAGTAACACCCTGGGGCACGATCACCGTTACGGCGGTGATCGTGGTCGCTCTTGATCTTGACGGTAGCTGATCTTTGAAAATTCTAACAGCTAGAATAGAAATCATCTTATAAAACTAGGAAATCTAAACTAGTCAAATGACGTAATAACCATGAGACCAGTGATACCCAAAGTGGGATAAATTACACTAGCGTACGGTTAGTTAATAAATTATTGCGAGCCGATTTGTAATTATGATAAACAACACTTTCATCGAAATGAATATTAGCAGCTTTCGTAGAAGGGCCAAGATGATTTTTTAAATATTAATAAATTTTGGAAACCATTGTTCTAGTTAGAAGTTAACTCTAGTTATTTACGTACCAAGTATGATGGATGCAAGCGAGAGAACAATCAGAAGACAGAGCGGGTTGTTGGCCCACTGCAAGCAGTCGGGTCTGAAGCTCAGCCATCCGAACCTTCCACGTTTGTGGTTTGGGAATCGCACAGGCTAAAAGATTCGATTAAAACTTTTTTAATATAGAAGTTGAATGGATTCGATTTTCAGTTAATAGAATGAAATATTTTCTTCTAAAATTAAATAGGAAACGTCTCGTCAACCTCGTCAACTGAGATCTTACATTCGATGAGCACGGCCAGACAAAATAATGACATTCAGCGTCAAGTTCTAAATTTTTAAGAAAGTGATTAATACTCATGGTTGCCATAACGTAAATATGACATAAGATATTCATACCCCTTCGTATCGCAAATCTCATCTCCTTGGTCTGACAATGAAAGCAATTACGCCTGTTTATACTTCCTAGAACACAAAGAATAGCTTTAAAATATTTTGATACGGGTAAGCAATACAAATACATGTCGAAATTTTTGTGTTGTTTTATTTTTTATGTTGTTTATTTTTCAAACACTCACAGTTTGATTTTTTTTGCGTTCCTGCTTCCAAAATAGCAAGACGTTGGCAAAAACCGTAAGACCTAGCTTGATTGAGAATATTTACACGACAATCTTCGCGAAATATACATTTTCGTCTCCTCTTATAAACTCAAGTTTATTTAATTGGCTCAACAATTTTAATCCTGCCTGTTGTTCGACGTGGTTCTGGCTTTGCAAAAAAATATATATTCATCACTATGTGCGCATTATCCAGTTATCTAGATTAAAGGTCTAATTTAGAAGAAAATTTATTAGTCAAATATGTAATAATCAATGCTTACAAACTAGTTAACTGAGCGTCATTAGTTAACTGAGTAATATTTCATTCATTTAATTTTTCATTCCAAAAGGAATTAGGACGTTATCCTCGGCTACCGCAGTGCGCGCGCAAGTTACACTAGTTTTTCCTGCCATAGGTTGGGTTTTACCCACACAATCTTCCGCGAAAATAACTTAAAAACACAAGACGACTTCGCGCTGTCGATTCGTTATCTGTTCAAGGAATGAATTCTTACACATAGCACTATTCACCCTTATGCTTAGAACCGAATATTATTCTATTAAGAGAAATTCAAAAGCCATAATACTATTAACATCTATGTACAAAATTTAACCTCAAATATTATTAATATATAAATTAAAGATAAGTTAGGACTTAACGAATGAAGTCTCTGTAGAGTATTACTTTGGCATCCGAGGTCTGATTTTTCAATCAGTACGCAGTAAGATGGTGATATGCGCAGGTTTAATTGTAGTTAATTAAGAGAAATTCCTTACTGACATGATAAATTCTTCAGTTTAATTTAATCGCATTCTATAAAATGTTTATCATGATACATACCAAATTTACTGGAGACCAGGGGGACTCTGAATTAGTAGGCTCAGCATTGTTTCCGGCACCCATTGTATATTTACAAAAAACAGTCCATATTATTAAATACTCTCGTCGTTCCTTATTGCGTTATAGGATAGATAGCTTTTTATTCGAACGAAATATCAAGCACATCTTCTTTCTCCGAATTCAGAGACAAGTTCCATAGACTCAATACAACTGCAACAGCTACATCAACAGCAACTCTCACATCACGAACGCAGCGACATCTCACACCATCCATCGCCTGGGCAGCTCAGGGCTGCACTGTGGGTAGCAATAGTCAGACGAGCGTCGTTCATTCTCGTCTCGAGGCATAGTGTTGCAAAAATTTAATTAGTAATTGAAGGATTAACATTTTTTCGCTCATATATGCCAATGATGACATTATTTGTGACTTGTAGCCTATACGCATTTCAAACTGGTTACATTGAGAAAAAGTTTTGGAAGCGTTGATCTAACGGGTCGAACTCACTGCAGCTGAACGTTACAAATTCAAGGCAAACCAGACAAGGAACACCAGGAAGGTTACGGAGATTATATCGACTTATCCTCCAAACTTCTTGTAGATTCCCTTCTTAAGTCCAGAGAGCACTACAGAAGTTGCAGTATAGTACTGCAGTGAGTATATCTCAGTGAGTACTGAGATATATATATTTTTAATTTATGCTAATTCAAAGCTCATCATTCGGTCTGTTTGTCTCGCGCACCATTGTTAGTGTTTAACGAGGCAAAGGGTGTCTCGTTTTAATTAAATACAGACAAAGAATGAAAATATCAACGTATCATTCTTTGTCTGTGTTTAATTAAAACGAGACACCCTTTGCCTCGTTAAACACTAACAATGGTGCGCGAGACAAACAGACGGAATGATGAGCTATGAATTAGCATACATTAAAAATATATATATTTCAGAACTCACTGCAGTGAATGACAGCGAATTTTCTCATCGACGAAAACGTGATGTCACGGACACGGACAGACAGACGGACATGACGAGCACAATAGCGCATTTTTTTCCATAAATGACTAACTGCGCTAAATTGTCTTCACATTTAAACTTCAATTAGAAAAGAGGCTTATCAATTCCGGTGATTGGCTTCAACTTGAACCCAAATCTGCAAAAACTTCAAATTTTATTGTCAATTTAAATTGAATAAAATTTCCTAAATCAATTCAAAAATTATTGAACGTCTTTGCACTGAGCACTATTAAAGCAACTGAAGAAAAAGTTGTACTTTGAGGCTAAGAAGAGCTCCTGTTTTTCGCATATACCAACATTTTTGGAACGAGGGAGTGGCAGAACATGCACGATTTTTTATTTTACATGGCTTCACTTTGAGTTAATTTTGTTGATAGAGTTATCTTACTTCTCCGTAAGTATAAAANCATTAAACTAAGGCGCCTCTCAAACAGTAGGAGGAAATTAGGTTATTTTTTGTGACTCTACCACTGAATATAGATAAGCTTGTAGAAAACTTTGAGCTTGCGGAAGTAAAGGAGAACTAAGTCACTGTCGAGGTCGGAGAGAGTTTCTTCAAATGTTTTTCACTATTACACAGTGCTACAGCGCTGTCGAAAACAGACTCTAAATACACAAGAAAAACTCGACCAGCATCCTTCAATAACACGTAATTTATTAATGGCAAGAATTTATTTTCATTAATTTATATTGTGGTAAAAGTATTGCTTAAATTGAATCTATTTTAAAAAATTCCTTGCAACGGAGTAAAAAATAATTGATGTCGATTAGTGATAATTGTAAATGGACTATGGTTAAGTCGATAACAGGAGAAGCCGGTCGAATCATTATAGAATTATTTATAGTTTTCATCTCTTCCCCACTGCTGATAAGGATGTTTTTCCCGAATCCGTATAAACTAATAAAGTTTTTCTGAAGAAATACTTTGAAGTAGTGCTCTTGCTGTCTTTCATCCAAGTGATTTAGGGGGTTCAACTACATTTAGGAATTACCAAAAATTATTTTGTTTGGTATTTGTATTTATTCAGCTCTTAAAAATTATCCTTAATATCTGTTCATGATGTGCATTGTTCTTCTCGCAGCTTCAAAAGTTTATACACACTTGTTATGAAAGGAAACGGCTGTATAATAATTAATGGCTCTTTCGTAAATTACCTGTTTAAAACAATTGGAAGGACATGATCTTATCAACAATTTTCTTGTTAGAATTTTGATTACCTCAATAAAAAGTCAATGAGATCAATTAGCGGGATTAACCCGCGTAAATACTTGGGCACTACGTAGAGGTTGTTGAACAAATGATTACACAGAGTACATTCTATGAGTATTTTAGTTTAGTCTACAGTTATGTTACCAAAGAAAATAGATCCTATAGAAAACTTTCTATGGGTTACAAGTTTATGTTGCAAGGCCAAAGCATGCAATTTGGTCCGCATGAAATTTGACAATTATGAATTAACTGTCACAATTTGAGAGCACATAAATATACAAAAAGATATTGATGAACAATTTATTGAAATTGAAAGCCTTGAAAGAATTTTGTGGCTTACTTGGCTGTTTTCGATTTCGCGTTGAATTTGCATTGAATGCGACATTTGTTCAGTTCACATTTTCGGCTAATATTAACAACGGGGAACCGCATTATATTTATATAGTCAGTAGGGTAACCACAAGACCAAGAAGAAAGAAAGACGGAATTTCATCGTTAATAGTCTTTTTACTTTTATAAGGTGATTATATAGCTCATGGATCACTTATTTGACTTATTTCGTCGATAATATTGCTGATGTTCAAAGTCAAGATAAAAAAATGCACAGTGTTCAATGAGCAGTATTCTACCTAGTTCCATGCTCGTTTTGTTAACAGATTAAAGATTACAACATTTATAATGATTGCGAGTTACTGATGCGATATGGAAACACAATCTTTGCATCCAAACGAAACTCATTTGGTCGTTTATTAACGTAGGCTTTCCTTTCTCTTACGAATTCTACTCTTTCACTGTGGAGAGAGAAGCGTTTAAACTTTTGCCGCCTCGAACCGGCTGCTGGCCAACGGCTATCCACCTGATAGAGGCTGATACCATCTGGCACCTAGAACCTGCCATGTTTTCCTAATGGGGTAGACAGCTATTTTACGCTTACGGGTCGATGGACGCACAAACTTTTTTCATCTCATGTGGTTAAATTTCTTTGAGGGAAGAAAATAGTTATACATATATTCCTGATGATTACGCAACGGCAACGGAATATCTTCTACTCATTTATGCACATTGTGTTTATACCCGATATGCCCGATACGGCATATTAAATTTACATACGCTGAGTAAAAAACATTTCAAATGAATAAATAGGCTTAATTCGATAACTTTATGCGAGATGGCATAACTTCACGCCAGCGCTCAAAAGTTATCGCATTAAACATATCATAATCTAAATAATTTATTGACTATCTCGAAATGATAATTTTTGGTTGAAAGTGTACCATCCATGGTTGAATTAATAATACAGTATTAATTCAACCATGGTACCATCCACGATAACTTTTTTGATACTCCTGTTTGATATCAAGTCATACTGAATATGAGGATAATTTTAATTTAATTTGTCAGTACTCTGCAATAATAAATTGGTGATGCTAAACACTGGCGTTCATGCCATGGCTTGTCCCTTATCTTTCCAGGTTGTCTCGCATGCAGCTCATGGTTCCTCAGCGGGTAAGTCCAAGTCCGGACTAGAGGACTCATCCCGCAAGTTTTTGGCAGTGCTGCATTAGCTGTCAGTGTGAGTGGTTGAGTGTCCGAGCTCCAAGTGAAATCGTGTTGTCCAACTACTCGGGAATATCGAAAGTTTTATTATTAAACATTTTCATCAGTTTCGAAGGAAGCTTTATGATTAAGATAAACATGAGCTTACTGTGGCGAGTGTAGAATAGGAGATTAGTGCCGTGGATATCATAGAATGCAAGACGTTTTCGAATCTGAACGCCTGGGTTTATTGCTACCATAGTCGAAGTAACTGTACAACCGGAGCAGAATTACCGTTATAAGTATTCTCATGTATGTATGGAATTTGATGGTTTCAGACAAGTTGACACAAAAATTTGTGCAGCATGAATTTAATGCGTGTTTTTAAACCTATTATGTGGGTACGGCTTTCTTTCCGAAGTGTTTCTACTAGAGGTAAGCAGACGTAGCTACGCACTCTATAGTCTATAGTCTATACACTAATACAGTCCACGGACACGGTACATCGGAGCATGTTAATCGGGTTTAAATTTAATGAATTTAAAACAGACATCACAAAACGCGATTGGCGCGATTTAGGAGTGTCATATTTCTAATAATAAACCTCGATAAGTTTGACGGTGTCTTATATTTACATCTTTAAACCAAATGCATCGATGAAACCCAATCTTGAAAAAGTCTCAATGCCTTTAAATCCATTGTAGTATTCGAGTTTTCCCACCCAGAGAAATCGAACCAAAAAAAAAACATTAATATGCTAGATTAAATTTTAGTCAATTCATAATTGAATGGTAACTGGTCTATTCTATTAATTGCAGTTGTGGAAAATGTTCTTCGATTCAACATTACGCGGCACTGTTAAATATTTTCAACTCTAATGTAGCACCGATTCATGGTACCGGTAATTTTTTTTCGTGGCGCTGAACTATTTTTAAATTTGTATTTAATTCATAATTATTCTGTGAACAAACAATTGCGACAAGCCGCGAACATCTCCTACTGACATGGGATAATATAAATTTGAAGTTTAATCATTATTTGAGCGATTGAATTCAAAATTGTCTTGCCTGTTTCAGCTTAACTGCTGACCAGTTTCAGCTCAACTCCTGCTAGTTTAACTCCAGCCAGTTTAACTCCCTTAACTCCTGCCTGTTTTAACTCCCTTAACTCCTGCCTGTTTTAACTCCCTTAACTCATGCCTGTTTTAACTCTCTTAACTCATGCCTGTTTTAACTCTCTTAACTCATGCCTGTTTTAGCTTAACTGCTGGAAAATAACCCTGCTCATCCAACTTATTAACGAGCCTGAGATATCGTGCCAAAGCGAATCATTGCACCAAAAATACCATGGTTAATCGAATCAATGCAGCTAAACTATCGCGGCCACGAGAATCAATGCACCGAAAATACCGCTGTTAGGCGAATCAATGTAGCTAAAATATTGTTGATAAGCGAATCAATACCTCTAAATTATCGAGACTAAGCTAATGAAATCATGAAATTTAGAGTGAACGAGTTAATGCATCTA